CAAGTCGTCTCCGGGTTCATTGCCTTCCCTGGAGTAAGAGACAGTAAAAAAAAATAAACATCTGACCTGTTTCTGTTATTGTTTCTTGCAGAATTAAAGACCAATAATGGGTCATAATAATCATAATGACTATGAATATCAGTCTTGAGGAAGTTTTACTCCGATATGGCTGACAAACAAACCAAACTTGTTGTCTAATAACAAAAGCATCAACAGCTTATCTGATATGGTCTTGATGCTTGATTTTGTGTTATTTAATTCATAATAATTAATAATTAGGGAGCATTAACCTTCTCCCTTCAGCAAAAACTGAAACATCAGTTCATTTCCATTTTCTTCCAGCTCTATTTGGATTCCATACAACAGATGGACAATAAATCAATGATAATATAGATATCAGCAGATCAATATCAATAGATAATCCATCTGACAGAAAATTCAACGTGCCCTGAACATTCTGGGGAATCAGCCAATCAGCAAAGAGCGTGGCATTAACCCACTCACTGAGTAACTTCCAGTTTAAAGTTTCGCCTCATGAAACAGAAAAGGCCAATCCACCAGTTTGTGATCAATAATTATTGATATCAGATGTTAAACTCTCATATCGTGATGCGATTTTCGGCCGTATCGGTTGGCGCTGCGCTCCACTAACCAGAAGAAGGCGATCTTGTCGCCGAGCTTCCTCTCGTGGACGTTGCGGTCCAGCAGGTTGTAGCAGATGTTGGTGGTGGCTCCTTCCATGCACTTGATGAAGATTTCTCCTTTGGTCACGTCGAAGTTGTAGTCCAGGAACCGACCGGCGTGTTTGGTCTTCCAGAAGAAATCTTTAGCAATGGCGCCCCAGAACTCTGCGGCAAAGAAACAAGGACAATTACAGCAAGGCACCGCTGTGTTTTTGAAGAATTTCACATTTGAAACACAGAAAAATGTATCACAGTCATTAACAAACATTATTCTGGTTCAGAACCATAAGCTGACAGGACAAGACAAACGGACTTCCTGCTCTTCATGCACAACGTCCAGGAATTGGGGTAAAATATCAATATTTGTGTTTTTCAAAAATACAAAGCATGACTGTTGGCTGTATAATTAATTTCTCAGGAAATGCAAATACATAAATGATAGGAATCAGCCTCAGTGTTTCGTGTGGTTTATTGTTTTTCTCTGCCAAAAACTGGATGGTAAAAGTCTTCAGTCTGGTGCTTCATTTATTTGTTTCTAGTGTTGTGTTCATTGATTTTGGATATTTAAAACGTCCTCCAGTTCCAGTGCTAAATGTTTATTAGAATTTAAAGTTTATTGATCTTTGAGAATGTTTTCTGAACGTGTAACTCATTTTTAAAGTTGAGTTAATTCAGTAGTTTAAACAGCAATGGGGGAGATCAATGATTCACTGAAGCTGTAAGTTTGTGATAAAGTCCCAAAAGGCTGCATGTCTGTAGTGACGCACTAGAAAATGTCTCACATGTATTCCTTCCTGCAGTTATCTGCCTTGTAAATGTGCACAGGAGTAAAGTGAATATCACTACCACAGAGCGTTTATGTTTATGAGTTAGTGCAATCAAATGGCCTTTTGTGGAGGAAATAAAGACACACTGAGCCTTGAACCAGGAAGTAAAAATAAAAAATACAACTAAAAGCTGGGATAACTGCATACGTGCAATATTTAAAACTTTATCTGAGGCTTTAAAATGGGTTTGCAAGAGGAAGAGTGGATGTATTATGTTCTGCAAAATGATGAAACCAGATTATCTCAACAAGACATCGACATTTCCTTTGGTTTTAATGGAAGACATGAGTCATAATAACCAGCCAAAAAGAATCACATTCACTTTATTGTTTATTATAAAGTAAATCCTAAACCTCCATGTAACTGAATGACAAATCCTTTTCTCTCTTCCTATCAAAAACTGGATAATAAACATCCACAGTTTAGTGTTTTGGTCTCAACTCAATGTTTTTTGTTTTTTTTAAGGACAATATTGCTTACAAAGATTTCATAATTCATTTATTTGTTGTGTTTATGTTTGTTGATTTTTTTATGTTCTCCAGTTTTAGTGCTAAATATTCAATAGAATTTAACATTTATTAATCTTTGAGAATGTTTTCTTCCAACATAATACCACTATTATTATTATATTACTTCAAAATGGACTCAAAGCAATATAATTGTTTATTACAATGGAACAACATGAACATGTGTCATTGTGACAGGTCCAATCAGTACTAATAACATAAGACAGGTTGGACCAGTTCATTCAAAAGGCCAGGGAATCGCAACATATTATAGTTATTATAAATATTATAACAGTATTGTTTGTATTATTTCTGTTTACCTGTGTGAATATGCATGTTTAATACATTTTGCAGTAAGTCTCCATTTATCACTGCATAACTCCGTGTTTGTAGTGAAATAGGGACTCAATGTCCTGAGAAATCAGTGTTTGTGGGTTTCATTCTCGCCTCAGAGGAAACTGAAATGTTTCAGAGTGAAAACTGGGACATTCCTGCAGAAACTTTGAGCTTTCACTGATCCAGTGCATCAGAGCAATGCGGATGTACGACTGGGTGTGGAGATGCAATCCTGCAGGTTGCGACACCCCTGTTGTCTTTTCCAGATTCTCACGAGATTTGTCACTTTTAGCATTCATCTGTTCTGTAGGTTAAAGTGATACTCACCATCTGGATTCTCTATGGAGCGGACGTAGAGCTCCTTGTATTTGTCAAAGCTCGGGATGTGGGACTCCTTCTTCAGGTCCTCGGAGCAGTGGAAGACGTTCTCCTGCGGGGCTTTATCGGGAATCATCTTGGCTCCAATTTATTCTCCACCAACACGAGTCAAAGTGCGGACGGGTCGGCCTGATATTTCCACGGAAAATCCAGTTTCCAGCACCCTGTTCTGGTGTACTTTCATAGAAACAAACTTAACTCATCAGGCGAAGCGTCAAATCTCGCGCGAAGTGCAAAAATTCGAAGAAGCTCAATGCAGATTTCATTCAGACTTCCTCGTTTCGCAGGGTGACTTGTGACGCTTTCTATGCAAAAGTTGTAGCCGTTTACCCCACAAACACACGCTGTTTGATTTAGAAAACAAAACCCAAGTCAGTCGTAGAGCCTACGCAGCTTCAGCGTCTCGACGTTCCCGAGTGAACACGGACGTAAAAAGGTTTGACACCAGCTAAGCTAACCAGCTAAGCTAAGGAGAAAAAGGCAGATTCAGCTCATCCGTTAAAAAGCCCGCTCTGTGTTACATTAAACGAGCCACGTTATGTTTAATCATTACATGAAAACAAGCTTTAATTCAGCATAGCTCTATGTAACGAAAATAAAGTGTTAGCCGTAACGCTAACTCTTTGTGCGTCTCTTCTTCACTGTTAGTTGCAAACGTGTTCTGCTGCTGGACTGTTTGGCTCCGAGTCAGAGCCAATCAGAGCTCAGGGGGGCGTTCACGTGCTCATTGCGAAAGCTCCGAATTTACAGTGTTTTCCCCACATACAAAACTGAAGTTGGCTTCTGACTAGCTTCCGACTCGAGAAATTTGCTATAAAGCAATTCCATCTGTTCTTGTCCTACTATAATGTTATAGTTTAAAAACTATAATACTTTACGATTTGGGAAACCAAACCAAATCCCAAAGTATTGCATTCATTAACTGATTTCAACTAAGTTTTAAATATTCTACTACTAGTGTTGAATAATCCAGCCTAGGTTTAAGCAAGGTAAAGATGCTTTAGTGTCGGTTAAAGGGCGAATGAGGTGGATTCGCCCAATCCAATGATAAATTCAAACAAGCTCAATAATTTCAATGTGTATAAAATTATTGATACATAATCAATAATTGTCTAAGCGACAATCGGAAGCTAACTTCAGCTTCGGTTGCCCAAAACACCTGAAACAGATTTCAGATGTTTTGCATTAAACCACATAATGTGTTTTGTGTCCCAATATTAACCAACTTCCCGTTAATATTCTCATCGGCTCCAGTGACAAGCAAGGGCAAATGCTGCGTTCACTTCACCTCGGAAATCAAACCTTTGATCATGCTAAGGCGTCACACCCACTTTCAAGTTGCGCAACCGCTGCGAAGTAATGATAAAAAATAAATAACTATATATTTAGTGGAAAAACGTTGTGGAATAAATTTACTTTTAGGAGAAAAAATGATTTGGAAAAGTTTTTTTTCTGCCTGAACTGAAATGTATTGTTTTTCCTTCATTCAAGACTTCAAAATAGCAGAATTTGGACATAATTTTATGTTTTTGTCTGTCAGATGTTCTGATTGGTTACCAAGTACTGGAGTGTCATTCCTTGTTGACTAATCTTTTGGACGGGTTTCCGGTTTAATACTTTAATATGAGTTCTGCTAGTAGATTGAAACACTGAAGTGCAAAAATCTAAAATCATAAGAAATTATTTAGGAACTGAATATATATATATATATATATATATATATATATATATATATATATATATATATATATATATATATATATATATATATATATATATATATATATATATATATATATATATATATATATATATATATATATATATATATATATATATATATATATTTACATCTGTGCAGAATAAAGGCTAAAACCAGATCCAGAAACGTTGAAAACATATTTTAATCATAACAGAACAAGAATGAGACGCATACCAAAATGGCGCCCGCCAGGGGGCTGTGGGAGTTTCACCGAGATGAAGAAATTTACTGTTTTTTATCATTAAATCTTTTGTTTTTAATAATAAAAGCATATTAAATGTTATTTGTCGACTGCTTTGCCATAATGGAAAAGACCAAAGGAACCATCCAGGAGCATTTATGTAATAATTATTGAAAAGTGAACAAATATGAGAGGAAAAATGTCTAAGTCAATGTTTCTTTTGATATTTTGTCGTGTTGTTGTGGATTTGCAGATCAGAAGCTAATGTTATATTTTTAACTCTTCTTTTGAACAGTACAAAAAAGATAAATAAAATCCCAGACAGCATTTGACAATGAAATACTGTTTTATTGTTATAGTACAAAATGTGATTTAAAAAGATCAACTTCAGCGGAGTATAACAAACACACCAGAGGAAAAGATGGGGGAGAAGTCACAGTGTAACACACTAATCAGCGCTGATTGTTGAAAACGTAAAGGTCTGCGGCTGCTACCAACAAAACCCCTTAAAGCCACTTCTTCATTCTGCTCAGGAATATTTCATTAAACTAAAAACACTCCAATATGCTACAACGGGCATTTGGAAGAACTGTGGAGCAGAAAAATGAAAAGCAGAGAAAAGTCAACATTCTGCTGGTAGGAGGGGAAAATGAATAAAACTGAAAACATTCAGAGATTTTCCAGCAGTAAGAGGAGGAGGAGGTGAAATTAGCACTTGGTTGATTTAGTACGAAAAGGCCACAGTGTCAAACGTTTCATCATGAAAAGCACTTCTGAAGAGGAAAGCCTCCTTTCTGTCTGCTGCAGGTTTTCCAGGGTTTGGGGATGTCACAGTGGAAAGACAGGGCTACAAAAAGTAGCCTTTATCTCAAACTCTTGTTTAGAAATGGTCAGATTTAGTTTCCAGCCTGTTGCTTCACCAGTGGCGAAGCACTGACGACGTCTAAACGCCCTCAAAATCTTCAAATAAACATTGACGTCGACTGACTTTTAAAGATATTCTTCCACACTTATTGAGTTAATTTGGCATCAATAAACTTTGCTACGTTTGTGCTGCTTTTGTTTTGAAGAAATTAATGAAGGTTTAAAAGTCAAATAATCTCCTTACATCACAAAACCTGAACCAAACTAAACTTGTGGCAAACATTCATAACTTTTAAAAGACAAATAATAAGTTTCCAGAAGTCCACCTGCTAACAATCAAAATACCTTCAGGGTGTCCAAAGTGTGGTACGAGGGCCATTTGTGGCCTTCAAAATGATATTGGTTGGTCCTCAATCTACAAGTCAAGAATGGTAAAAAACAAAATAGAAAACAGTTCCAATAATTTGGAAATTATCTTTTTCTCTTAAAGCAACAGTATGAACCGTTTTTAATGCTTGGATGCAGATTTATATCATCAAAACAAACGTTGCACAGTTGATTGTAGAAATATATTTTGATACATTTGTTGAAACTGTCATTAAGTTGTGACAGTTTGGTATGAGACAAATAATCTGTGAAAAAATCACGCTCCTCTGCTGATTGGTTGAGACAACTGGAAACAACCAATCAGAGCCAGGAGGCGGGTCTTAGTTAGCTCTCGGGTAAGTCGCAGCTAGCATAGCATGTTGTGAATGCTAGGCGAGTTAGCATAGCCAATAATGACAGAAGATAAAAGGTTTTCCTGTAACGGTGTGTTGTTTCACTGCCATTAGCACATTTTGCAGCATCTTCCCAAGGTTGATTTACTGCTTTAAAACCCGCCTTCTAGCCCTGATTGGTTGCTTTTCGATTGGCGTGAGAGAATTGATCTTTGCAGATTATCTCTCATAACAAACTGATGACAGTTTCAACAAATATCTAAAAACCATTCTGCAGTTCAGAGTGACGTCAGGGTGGCCATCTTGTTGTTGAATTCAGTTCAACTCTACAAAAGTCAAAACTTATTGAGGCCAGGCTAAGATTTTGATTTTTTAAATTGTGACAATAAAGTTGAAATAGTGCGAGAACAGATCATTTATTTTACCAAAGTAAAGTCACAAATTTGGAGAATGAAGAAGTAATCTTATGAAAATTATACTTTGGCTTTACAGATGAAGCAAAACTTAATCTTAACACTTCAGCATAAAATTATCACCAGCAGCAGCAGGACTGATTGTTCAAACGACTGAATCCATATAGAAACAGAACTTCATGACTTTCTTCTGGTAAAATTGTATCTCTGTTCCACTAATGTAATTACATTCTCATAATTAAACATTTTGTGTCCTGGCCCTGATACTGACTGAAATAAAAGTCACTGATTTAATGTTGAGCCCTGAACGTGATGCTGTTTAACGTCTGTTAAATCTATTGAAAGTTGGAACCGTCTCAAAATTTGGGTCGCGCCGAAAAATCAGACCAGATTTTGTTTGAGAAAACATTTTCTACCTTCACTTTGAAACTTTGTCGCTAAATTTAGTGACTTTTCACAAAATTACATTTTATGAGTCAAAAATTTGCTAGAAATTTTTAGATTAATCTTGGAAATTTTCTAGAATAAACTTACAGATTTCTGAGTTTTGACATTTGAAAATGTTCTATTTTTGGAAATTTGTCTATTTTAAAAAGTTTTCTATTAAGAAAATCCATAATTTTTTAATTTCAACAGTTAAAGATTTCCTACTTTTAACACTCTGAAATTCTCATGTTTTGTAGAAAATGTTTTAGATTAATCTCAGAATTTGTTTAGGAAATTTCAAAGATCAATATCAAAATTTTGGATTTTGTCTTAGGAAACTTTTGCATTTCTAAAAGAATTATTATTTTTTGGGTGGAAAATGACTTTTTTCCACTCTTCCACCTGCAATTTTCTAATTCTTTGTCATAAAATTATTTTAAAAAAATCGGTACTGACAGGTCCTGATTTTTAGAAAACGGCGCACTCCTACTCAAAGTACGACTACCGCCCTCTAGTGGCCACTCCAGACCTGCCAGCTTAAGACGTCTACAGAAAATTAAACCATTTATCAGAAAAATAAAAGTCTTTGTAAATGATTGAGATTCTTTATTAAGTTTTAATTGCAGCCTGAAATGTTTCTGAGTTTGAAAACTTTTGTTCCTTCAGGCTTCATGTTTGGTCCAACAAAAACGTAACTGCCCAATTTTTTCTCTCCGAAATACAGCTTGAATATCATAACCAGGTAAACAAATTAAAATCGAACAAGACAAAATTTACTTTGCTTACAAACCGGGTTTAAAAATCACATTTTTGATAGAAAAGAATTTAAAAAACTGTTCTGTAATTTAAAAAGGTTTGCTCTTAGTGAAGGCAAGTAGTAATAAATAGAGAAAGTCAAGGCCTCTGGGCTGCATCCACTCCTCTGGCAGTTTTTGGAGCTTCAACACCACACATTTATTCAGAAAAAAAACTCTAAAAAACTTTTTTTTGACAAACATATTTTTATGAATAAGGCCGTTGAAAAGAAAAACGTTCCACTAACAGGACTAAACACCAGTGTTTTGGTTAAATTAGAAAGAAATGTGACAAAGTTACATTAGTCTGAAGTCTCCAACTGAACCCAGAATGCAGATTAAATCTGATTAGAACTGGTTGTTTTGTAGATTAGATTCCCAGATTTTATGGAGGAAGCCATCTTAAAGGCTACAGGTGAATAGGAGCGGTCAGCACTTTCTACCAAGTTCAGCTCCACCGACTCCTTCAACTTCAAACAAAAGATGAAGCCACTTTTTTTCTTGATTTAGGAAGTGCACATTTTTAAAACTGAAATTCTGAGCGTTTTGAGAGAACTGGTGGGTTGTAAAAACAAACACGCAGTAACACATAAAGGGATGAAATGAAGAAAAAAGGTACAACTGGATTTTTGCACCAAATGAAGACAAGCCTGTTGCTTTGTGCCAAACTAAACGTGAAGATTTTCAATCTGAATGTACGCAGAGCGTCTTCTTTTATCGTTACTTCATGGAATCAAAACGGTCCAGGAGGAGAGAGCCTCCTGGACCGATTTGATTCCTCCTGGACCGGCAAATTCAGGTTTGATTCGGGTTACAAGAAGCTGCAATGCCTGGAAAGGACACCAGAGGGCGCTTTGGTCAAAACCATGGAGGAATGGCAGTAAAGCAGCCAGATGGCGCCACCACCGCTGCCCCCTGGTGGCCGCTTTAGTACTGCAGGTTCAGGGAAACCAAAACCATCAAAGCTTCCAAATCTATGATGGCAAGCAAAAGGAGTTTACAGGTAAAAAAGTACATTCACGACAAAAAACTGACATTTTTTGTGAGCAATTTTATAGTTCCAAAAGTATCCAAAATATTCTAGAAAAAAAAAACTAATTTCAGACTAATGTCATAAATCTCCTAAAAAAACAACCAATTCTGAGTTTCAATAGCTGAAAATGTTGAAACTCAGACGTTTCCATGTATTATTTTCCTTTTCTCTTTTTTTTTGACAAAATTTCATTTTTTTTCTAGCAAATGCTAAATTTTTTAAACTAAGATTAATCTCAAAATTTCCAGATGGGTGGAAATTTTCTGTTCCTTTTCCTTTTAATTTACAGCCGTCCAAACGTGTCGACCGTTTGTTTTGGTTTGAAACTAACATAAAACAATGAAAAATAAAAACCACTTAGGAAATAAAATACAACATGAAACTCAGAGTTTTATGGTCAGAAACGAAACATTCAGGGTTAGTTTGGAGAAAAGCGCCGGCGGGTCGACCGGGTCAGGACGAGATTCTTCATTTGCATCCAACAGGCTTTTAAACACACACACACATACACACACACACAACATCGCTTATGCTTTTTACACTCGAGTCCGGAGCGAAAACCAGGTGTTTCCCGACGGGGGTCTGGTTCTGGGAAGGACTGGATTACAGGGCAGCGCTGGGGGTCGGGTTCTGGTTCTGGAGACAGAGGCTTCATTGATTATAGAGAGGGCTTGGCGAAACCAAACCGCCGTGGCTTGATAAGGTGGAGGAGACGCTCGGTCTAAAACTCCTCCTGCTCTTCGGCATCCGGTATTACGAAACCCTCCTGCAGGAAAGAGGCGAACGGTTAGATACCGAACGACCCCGGACATTTCGCCTCACAATCAGCAATAAATCACACGATCAATTAACATCAGATCAATAACTTCCACATCGCTACTTCCTTTAACGCTGTTAAAAACGGTTTGCACTACCTGCCTTGTTTCCCTATCAATGACTTCGGATCCATTTTAAGTCTTGATGTTTTGTTCATTTTGGATAGTTAAATCCAGTTGCAGTGTAAAATGTTATTTATAAAGTAAAAGGTTTTTGATATTTGATAATATGTACTTGCATTATTATTCTTTTTTTACTTTTATTAACTATTGAACAATTATTGCACTTATTTAGCATAAATGCTGCTTCTTCTGATCTTAATTGGCAACAAGTGGAAAATGTTTTAGCAGGTACATTTTCCACTACAATCCTCTCCTTATTGAGGGAAATGTGATCACATTTCAGCCAGTTTTCCACTTATTCTACTGGTCAATAACCAGTTTAACTGGTCAGGATGGATTTATAGCTGTTATGGACGTAAACAGCTGTGAAACAGATTTGTTTTGTTTTAGTTTGGATTTGTGTTCAATAATTTATGTGAAGAGTTTTGAGTTAAAACATGAATTGGTAGAAAAGCTGGACTCACGTCTGTGGCGTAGAGGATGTCGACGATCCGCTGCAGCGTCGGGTCGCCTTCGCCTTCTTTCTCCTGGCAAATCAGCTCAATATTCCTCAACTTACCAAAATAAAAGTCTCTTTCCTTCTCCATGTCCTGAATGGTAGATTTCAGAATCTCTATCTGCGGGTACAAGATGAGAAAAAGGTAAAAGAACATTGTCATGATAAACGATTTGACGAATGCCCACCTGTAACAAGCCAATCAAATCAGACCTCATTAATAAGCTCCGCCCTCTCTTCATCGCCGCCTCCCATCCCCGGTTTTCGGGTCCCAGCAGGAGCCAACTTGGGAGCAACTTTTGCAACTGGAGGCTTTTGGGTAGCTGCTGAGAAAATCAGGGAGACAGATATGGTCACATAGATCGATCTGACATCCGAGGCCAACTGATCAGACGGATCACCGATTGATCAGACTAGCGACATGGATCGATCAGACGGATCACGGATCGATCAGACGGATCACGGATCGATCAGACGGATCACGGATCGATCAGACGGATCACGGATCGATCAGACCAGTGGACGGGCTCCCACCTTGGTTGAGGGTCTTCTTGGGGAGCTTGTTGAGTGCGGACGTGGTGGGACTGTTCATGGACAGGGTCTCCTGGCCCTGCCTCATCGCCACCGGGTCGTACTCCTTCCCGTCGTAGTTGGCGTCGAAGAATTTCTTAAACCACTGGACGAACTCAAAGTTGTCCTGGAACTTCCCCTTCACCAGTTTGTCGACTGGGATTATCTGAAACGAGACGGACGGCCCAATCAGAGCGACCGATGGCAAACGGATCCGTCTGCCGTGGCTAGCCCAGCGGCTAACCGCTCAGGTTTGAGTGAACTTACTTTATCCACGCCCATCTTCTTGAAACCAACTTGCAGAAGCTTGAAGTTGTGGATGTATTCGTGCTCCAACTTGGCGCCGAATTTGACTTTCTTCAGAGGCACGGATCCGGGAAACAGCATGTCCATAAACTGGCAGTAGACGGCGCCTGACCAGGAGCAACACAACATTAGAAACTCCTGGAACATTTTAAATTGCAAACATGAACCAAATGGACGCCCTACTGCCAGAGTCCTGACCGACTCCAGGACCTCGGATTGATTCCAGGCAGCGCTTCTTAACAATTACCATTACTTTTATTATTGCTTTTATTGCTAAGACTGGTCTGGTGCAGACCGCCTACAACCCTCAGGTGAGCACACACCTGTTTATTCAACGCTCCCACAACCAGAACTAAACACAGTAGAAGCTCTGAAACAGTAGAAATAAACCTGCCTGGTCTTGCCTTATTGCCCATAATGCAACACGGGATGCTTTCTCTAAAAGCTGCTGGACAGCTGCCGGCTCCTGAAAGGACCCAGTTTATGTTCTGGTGCAGAGCCGAGGAAGGAGGCGCAGCCACAAGATTCGCCTTAAAAAAAAACTAAACATGACTAAAAGAATCTGTGTTTTATGACATAAAAGTGATTTAAAAATGCTGCCAATTTAAATACACGCAAATATTTTAAGGAATATTTTTATGTAAAGCAACTTCTTTGAAAATTACATTTTAAAAAATGACTTTTTGTAAAAAAAAAAAAAAAGTTGCTAGATTTGTTGCTTTTTTTGAAAAAGTTGCTCAAAGGATCTGAAAAGTCGCAGTATTATGCATTTTTCAGACAATGTGCAATTTTTTAGAATAGTTATGTAACTATTCTACTTTCACTTTAAAAATGTTGTATAGATCAAATATGACTTTATGAAATTAGGTCTCTGTCTCTTTAAGAAGCTGCTGCTCTTTCAGAAACTCCACCTTCAGGAAGTCATCCCAACATGGCTCCTTTTTTAACCCATCAATGCTTCCAGCAGAAGTAAAAACTGAGACTCCATCGGTGCTCAAACTGGCTTAACGGTTTTCCGCTAAACTTCACAAAGCAGCTTTGAAGAATTTATTTCACATAAACTCATTTTCTGTCCTACCTGTGCACAACATTTCTATCTTGGTGAGGTTCATCTGGAGAGACTCGTTGATCCACACCAGCATGTCATGCCGACTCAGGTTGTCGCTGGTCACCGACGTTGCGTAAACATTCACCGCCATCCTGGCTCACCTGCAAAACAAGATGGCGGATTACTGCTTCAGATCCGAAACAAGCAGCCCGGTTTAAACCATGAGTCCACAGAGAACCGGAGATTACACTTGGAGAAAAAAGACAAAAAGAGTTCTTTTGGTTGAATTGTTGATTTTTTATTATTATGGAAGCTGAACGTATTTTGCTCTTATATTTTGGTTATTTTTAGACAACTATGATGCATAACTGAGTCAAAAATGGTCCCATTTCACAGCTGATTAGCATCTGGAAAATTCAAATAACGCCTGAACTTTGACCCAAAGGAGAGGAAAAGGAGGCGTCATGGATGCAGAGAAGAAGAAAGAAGTTGAAACCATTTTTAACGTCTGTCTGCCTGGATTTCAAACCAAACAGTCAGAGAGATTGAAAGAGGAGTGGCAAATGCAAATGAAGTGGATTAGCAGAGCAAGTTAACAACTGTTGGCCACTTAGGACATGTTACAGTAACATATTGTCTCTGCACTGTTAGCATGTCAGTACAGTAATGAGACGACAGTCTTCTGTCAGAGGTTCCTTCAGTCGTGCTGCAAGACTGACTGCTACCTGCAAACAGCATCACAAATGGGCCTGTTGCAAAAGCAAATCTAAAAATAAATGTTCCCAAAGGTTATCGCGATAAACAACAAGATCATCCATTTGAGACCATTTTTAAGTAACATAACGGTAATGGCATAACAATCTCCAAAATCAAAACTGGACAAAATAAATAAGTAGAACAACAGAAACAACAAATTATTAAGTTCATAAGCAAAATTCTCCTTCAAAATAAAAGCTAGTTGAGACCAAAGACTTTATCATCTAGTTCTGTGTAGGAGAAAAAAATAGAAATAATTTCAATATATTTAATTTTTTATGCAATTAATTGATTTGTTGCAACAGGTCTAATCACAATCTCAGATATTTGTCACAACTATGGTCATTAAATTCCCTTTGGGTTGAATGAAGCATGTTTGTGCTGAACTGAACATTTAAATATTGTCAAATAAAATTGTTGCCCAATGTGCTGTATTAAACTGATCAATCCTGATCGGTTCCTTCATCAGATGAGGTCATTTCCTGCAGTGCATCGCCTCCATCCATTTTTTGCAAGTCAGACTGAGACTCTCATGATACAACAGCCAACATAAAGCGCATGCAGACGGCACTGCACGTCTGTAAAGCTGCACTGGATGTTTAGATGATGTTCCATTTTAAACGTACGGAACCGCTCTAATGTCTTATCACAAAGAAAAACAAAATACTATAAACCTAAACAATTATTTTACCTTAATGTGTTGATTCATATCTTGTTGAATTTGTCTTTGATTAATTAAACCGGCTGATTGGTTCACAGATTAAAAGCTGTTGTTCTGACTCAGGTACAGATCCCAACAGTGTGACGTTTAGATCCCGCTGATCTCCCTGCTGGAGGGCAAAAGGCTGATAGCTGATGACTAGCATTGGTTTTAGCAGACAAGCTGTCAACGCAGCGCACTAAATCTTAAATGTATGGCTGCTATATGGAAGAAAATGGGACGCAGTGCTTTAAATAAAAAGGTCAGGAAAAGTTTTAAGAAGAAAAAATAGCGAGGGAGAGAGTGGCAGGTCAGTTATGCTAACTTGACTATGAGAATGTTGACATGTAGATGTGATGTGGAATTTGGTGTGTTTCAATTCAGTTAATAATAAAGGTCACACACACACCAAGTGACAGATCATCAGAAGAGCAGGGGTTTAAATTAGCTAAACAACCACTGCAGTGTTAGCTTTGCTAATAGCAGCGGTAGCTAATCTGCCCGAAGTAGCTGATCTATCACATCACTAAATAAACATCGACTCTAAAATCATAACACTAACAAACTAAATGTTCTGTTCTTTGTGTAAAAAAATCTTGTGGGTCCTGAAACACGTAGCGGCGCGTTGTCAGTTGCTATGGCAATGAATCTAGCCAATTAAAGGTGGTTCTGAGTTGATCTTCAATGGCTTTTCTGTTATTCTTCCCTTTGCTGCAGCGCACTGCTCTAAACTGATCAGTCCTCCATCTCCAGGTTTCGTTTAGTTAACCGAGCTGCTCTCTCTCTGCATGGCATGTAAAACAATCGTGTTTTTTCTCCACTCTTCACTGCTCATAGCCCTTTGTTTGATGTCGCTATCAGTGTATTTGCATGGAGAGCGGCTAACAGATCTGATCATTAAGGTCAAATTTTAATGCCAGGTGTAAATAAGAGTCAGTCTGATGGTATCAGAGGATCAGGGCTGCCATGATGGATCCAATCAGTGGGTTTCTGATTACACAAGTTAACGTAATAACCTTAAATTTGTTTATTAGCGTTTGCTAGTTAGTTTCATAAACCTTTTGACCTTCAGGAGCAGTCTTTCATATTTTTGATCTAATAATGTGCATCTATAGTCTGTCAGTGACAGTAAGTGGTATTTCTATTCTATTCCATATAATATAAAGAAAATACACCCAGATCTTAAAGCAACATCACTAGTAGACATTAGTAGAAAAATTACTATGTGTCATGAAGGCCAGTAGACAATACCAACTCTTTTTAGTTATAAATTATTCTGACAGTTAATTTAGAAATCACATTAAAAAATTAAAAAACACCACAAAAGAAACTAAGATAGTAAACATTTACTGAAAGAACATTTCCAATTGCTTTATTAGAAAAATAAATATCAAAAAATCAAAATGTTTTGATTCTCAAAGGAAAATTAAGTAAATTGACTCAGAACAGCAGTCAGTAATCTTTATAATCCTCGGAGCCTTTTTTTTCTCTCTTCTTCACGTGTAACAAATCCCAAATGAGTAATGAATAACTTTTGTTTTAAAAAGCCAGGCCAGTTATGGAAGCAGAGAGTCCAGCTGTATCTGAGTCAGCAGGGCGCATGTTAACCAGATCTGAGCCGGACCTGCGTCTCAAACAGGCCCAGCTGCTTCCTGTCTCCCAGCACCAACAAACATGTCTTAGAGAGAAAGTCCAGCTAAAACTGCTCGCTTTGGGTTCAGACTGGTGTTTCTCAGGGCGCATTTCGGAAGCCTTTAGCCTGTGTCGCATCAGAAACTTGAAGCTAACGTTAGCAGCAGTTAGCCGTTATGAATGTGCTCATCAGATCATAAGCCGATTTATTAACTCGCTACAACCTCACGCAGTGAGGCTGTGGGTTTCCTGGTGGGCTGTGGAAGCTGCGGCTAGGTCCTGGACCCGTTTCCAGCGCCGGGCTGTGATCTGGAGCCCGGTTCTGCCAGCATGCAGGCTGTTTCCCCGCCCTGAACCAGAGCCTCCCAGACGGAGCACCGCCTTGTTAGGTTCCGTTACCCTGGAGCCACCACCGAGTCCCGGTCGACCCAATCATATCAAATGGGATTTTATTAAAGACATGACAACTGAAGAGAAGAAACCTGGTCCAGTTTGACCAACTGGTTCCGCTCTAACCAGTACCAGCCATGCTCTGGGGCAGCAAACCAGCAGTTAGCATTTTAGCTGCTCGGCTCCTCAACCAGCGGCCGCTTCAAATCACCCCGGTTTTGTTTAAAAGGAAAAACGGTTAACTCACCTACAGCTGGTCAGAATTCAGACTTCTGCGGACTCGATAGTAATTAATTGTCTCTGCTGTGGTTCCGAATACCAACAAAACACAAATCTTTGTTTACTGAGACCAGAGGTGCCACTTCTGCTTTTCTTTAGCTGTTTCACGTTCAATCTACCGGCAGCGGAAGAACACAGCGGAACAGCGCAGCAGATGACGTAAACACGTAAGAGTACGTCCCCACGCACCCCGAGCGTATGGAGCAAAAACAGTCTCATAATTCACGAACGCACAGCTCAAGAGCCACAAATGCACAGAACAAGATTCACACTTTTATTTTTAATGCAAACACAAATATATCTTGAATTACAAACTGTTTCTGGCCTGTGGGTGGCGCTACACACCTCACAATCTGCAAATGTCTTTGAACGATCAGCAGCCAATCAGATGGCTTCCTTGTTTCAGCCAATCACATTAACCTATTCCAACCCAACAGACAGTTTAGACCTCAGAATAACCAGATTTTAGAAATCTTAAAAAGTTTTTATTATCTCCTAACATTGATTTAAATTTTCTGACACAATAGCCTATCTTAGAAATAAATATTATTAGACAGTATTATAATATTATATCACATTTGTTTGTTTAAACCGGTGGAAAGTACCATTATTCATATGTGATTCTTTCACTCTAGTAAAAAGTATGGTACCTCCCAAATCTCCGGTGTTGTTTTGTTTGTTTGTTTGTTTGTTTTTCAAAGGTTTCTCAAAGAAAACAATGTGAGACGAAGAGGGAATGAAAAAAACCACTGCTGATTAATCAGAAGAATATGAAGAATCATTTGTAAGAAGGTTATTATTTGAAAGTGACAGAAAAATAACTAAAATTTCTGGGTTGAACAAAAATTATTTAAAAAAATATTTCAGTTTACTATCTGAAATGTTCAACTTTTTCCCTGGGATTTTATTTGGGATTTTAAAAATCTTCATTGTTTGTCTGAATCATGATTTTATTTATTAGTTTTTTTCATGTCGAGCTTTTAAAAAAACTCTTATTCTGAAATAAATGTTTTATTAACGACATGAAGATGAAGAGAAGAAAATTATCAGCTCAGATTAAAAACGGAAACCAAATAATTTTGCATATTTATGAACCACAAGTTCTTAATTTCTTACACAAAATAATCCTAATTGTTCAGCATTCGTCATTCCTGCGGTAAACACGGGCATCATGGACGCATATTAAGACCCGGTTCGGCGGGGTTCTGATCAGACCAGAACCGGGACGGTTCAGCTGTTTAGAGCCTGTTTAAAATTATCTTTTTAGATTTTAAAACTTTCTATTGTTAAATTTCAGCCGGTTCCATGAAGCGACTCTAACGTGTTTTTCTCTCTCTTTCTTGATGACGTGTTTATCGGTTACATGTGTGACGTCACGGCGTCCCTCCCGCCCACATTACTTTATCAAAATGTTTTAAAATATAAGCATAAGTCTTGAAAATGTGACTCATTACGGGAGAGCAAAAAACTTGTGTCGTTGCACGTCATAGGTTTGATGCCTATGACGTGCAATGACGTCATACTTCAGGGTCTTTATTTGCTCGTTCTTTCTCTCTAACCGTCACTTTGCATAGTTTGTCGCAGAGCTTGGATCAGTTGGTGTTTTTCCAGTAATTTCAGCAGAAAACTCTCAGCAATTACCCCAAGTGTAATGAGTTCCCCGATAGCAGAGACCTGGATCATCACCGTCCAAACCCTGACGCCGGTGGTGACCGGTTTCTTCGAGGTCCTGACCCCAAAGGAGGGTAAAGTTCTGGCAGATGGAAACCCAGATGGCATCACCACCTGCTTTCTGTTCAAGACGATGGGAGACGTCTTGGAGCTGTTTGCATCCAACGCTCTAGATAATCTCCAGAGCGTTGGATGTTTAGAGCGTTTAGATGTAAAGGCGATTGTGGGGAACAAAGTTCCCGACACGTTCGCGAAAATCCTGAATGTGGAAGGAGACTACAGTACCGAACACACCAAGAATATAAATCAGCTAATTGTGAAACATGTGATGAATAAAGTCGCTTCCGGCTTAGACTTTGACGACCCCAGAAGAAATGACATCAAGAAAATACCTTACATGTACATAATGAAAAATTTAGTGTCTGAAACCAGATTTATGATAAGGGACCTTGTTATATTCCAGAAATCAAACAAACTGGCTCTTGTCAACACAGTTGAGTCAAAATCTGAGCTCACAGGTCTTAAAGAAAAGATCAAGAACTTTTTCTGGAATATCATTGGAAACTTGTGTGGAAACTGTTCTTAGCTGAGCGTTTTTTCAGAGGCCTGGGTAAACCCTATGCAATCCCTTAAAAGACACAAGATCTGAGACGTGAATCCAACATGAGCAGAGTCCAGTCAGCCAAGGCAAGCCTTGGGATGGGTTCCTGGGATGAAACCGAAAGTTGAGTGATTGAGGAAGCCTGCATTGGAGATCATGCAGGAGATGATGAAGCACCATCAGGTTCTTATTTAACGTCTCCAACAGACGTCCCTGAGGATCTAAGTCTGAAGATGTTCTCAAGTACTGCACATGAGGATGAGGGTTCAACTCCCTCTGAGTGTCTGAACATGTTGGATGGTCGTCTCTGGGCATGCAAGACTTTTCTCCAGTTTCCCCAAAAAATTAACCTCCCTTTGGGATCATTTAAATACATCTGAATTGGACCAGTGAGTTTCGGTAGATGTCTGCTGAGCATTTCTGTCTGAGTGTTTTCTGTGAGGTTCGCTTTGATTGTGGAGACCAGACTCAGTGGACGTCCATCAGAACCAAAATGATTCTGTTGAGGGCGTCAGTGTCAAACTAAAATGACCATAGAATCGAAGTAAGTGCCTAAAACCTTAAAACATTTACAATTATTGTGTTTAAGTTTGCTTTGTTTATATTTACAACTGGCACTGATTGTGTTTATTCACAACATTTGCATAGTTTGTTTAATAGTTAAATCGTTTTAATCTTCTTTAGTAGTAAATAAATTTAAAGCTTGGATGTGCAGTAGTAAAGTCATTTTAAGATTGTCTGTTTAATAGTAAAGTCATTTTAAGATTGTTAAATAGTAAAGTCATTATAAGATTGTCTGTTTAATAGTAAAGTCATTTTAAGATTGTCTGTTTAATAGTAAAGTCATTATAAGATTGTCTGTTTAATAGTAAAGTCATTTTAAGATTGTCTGTTTAATAGTAAAGTCATTTTAAGATTGTCTGTTTAATATTAAAGTCATTATAAGATTGTCTTTTTAATATTAAAGTCATTATAAGATTGTCTGTTTAATAGTAAAGTCATTATAAGATTGTCTGTTTAATAGTAAAGTCATTTTAAGATTGTCTGTTTAATAGTAAAGTCATTATAAGATTGTCTGTTTAATAGTAAAGTCTTTTAAATTGTCTGTTTAATAGTAAAGTCATTTTAAGATTGTCTGTTTAATAGTAAAGTCATTATAAGATTGTCTGTTTAATAGTAAAGTCATTTTAAGATTGTCTGTTTAATAGTAAAGTCATTTTAAGATTGTCTGTTTAATATTAAAGTCATTATAAGATTGTCTTTTTAATATTAAAGTCATTATAAGATTGTCTGTTTTAATAGTAAAGTCATTATAAGATTGTCTGTTTAATATTAAAGTCATTATAAGATTGTCTGATTAATAGTAAAGTCATTATAAGATTGTCTGTTTAATAGTAAAGTCATTTTAAGATTGTCTGTTTAATAGTAAAGTCATTTTAAGATTGTCTGTTTAATAGTAAAGTCATTTTAAGATTGTCTGTTTAATAGTAAAGTCATTTTAAGATTGTCTGTTTAATGGTAAAATCATTTTAACCTGTTCTGTTTACGCTTAAAATGAAGTAATTTTAAAATTATTTAGTTAAGTCACTTCAGCTTGTTTAGTATTTAGATAATATTAAGCTTTTCTGTTTAGTAGTTAAGTCATATTTAGTCACTATTATGTTGATACTAGGAATTGGATGAAGGTTATCGCTGGCATATTGACTAACACAAAATTAGTCCATTCAGCATATTAATTAATATCTGTGTACAAAGTCATTTCTGGTACCTCATATGTTTATGTATAGACTTATTCCATTCAGTAGGATAAACTTCTCTAATAAATGAAAAATTGTCTGAAATGCTTATTTTAAGTACGAAGCTAATGTTGGCATATTGATACTGGATGTGTAAATGGTTCCAGCAGCACGTTGACTTACATCATTCAGTATTGGTGAACATGGCTAATACATAATAGCTAATATTATGTATTAACACCCCAATAGATAGTAATTTATTGCATTTTATAGACATTTGAATGAAGATTTATCCAAAGTCACAAATAAGAAAAAGAAGAAAATTGAGATGTTTACAAAATTTTATTCCTAATACTAACAGCATTTGTAGAGCCAAACAGGACAGTATTTTGTTCTTGTAAATGTTTTAACCTTCACACAGCCAACAAGCATTTAATCCCTCTGGGGTAACGTGCAAGAGCATTGCATGAACTTTGGTCATATTTCACAAGAAAAGATCCACCAATAAACGGATCGCAGTCCCACTAATCAGGACTTTCGGCATTAAACAAAACAAGAAAGCATCAAATGTAAACATTGGAACCAACTTTTCAATTTCATTCGTTATGGTTCTTTCAGTGACAATATTTCCAATAATTTCCATTAAAAATGAATCATGATGACAAAAAGCAGCTAAATTACAGTAGTTAGTAAGAAACATAATTAAAAAGGAGGATTCCTCTGTTACTTGGTGATTGTTCCGTTTGCTCCAATATTGATTTAAATACTCTTAATAACAAATTTATCCTGCTGAACAAAACTAAAAGATGTTTACTAAATCTACTGGAACCACAAACAGGTTGAGTCTAGAGGGTTTTAACATATTCAGAACATCTTGTGCATTTTGTCGTCTTATTCCTATTTCTCTCATTCGGTTTAGTTACCAGCTTAAAAAAATGAAAGTGCATCGACATGATTTTGGTAGAAATGCATCAAACCGTGATTATAAAATTCACAGAAATAAAAAGGAAATGGATGTTTGTTAGATTTTTTTGGGGTTCAGCAGTTGAAATAAAGTCATTTAAACATTTTTCTTAATGTTTGGCTCAGTTTATAACTAGTTATGACCCAAACGGATCTACAGGTAAACGGCAGCGGGCGGCTTGTTTAAGGCACCGCAGGTCAACACTGAGGTCGATTTATGCACCACAACTGTCCATCACTCCATAATTGCAGATTTACCATCTTAAAATGGTTGTTTTTTTTCTATTCATTAAACCACGATCAGAGTATGGAAGACTCATCCTGCCAAAATTGGCACTAAAGACATAAATAAATAAATGGCTTGATAATGTGTCAAATATCGCATTAAAAAAATATAAATAACTTTCCCAACTTATTTTTTATAGTCATAAAATATTTTTATATTTATAATGTTGCATTGTGTAATCAGATAAGTTGGGAAAGTTTTCATTTGCATTTAAAAATTTTTTTTGGGTTGTAATATTTGGTGTAATTACTTTACAAACTCATACTTTTTCTCCAAAGGTTTTGGCTAATTTTGGCAGGATCAGTCCTCCATATGAAAAGATCTAAAACCACAAATCAACAAAGAATTTTAAAAAGCAACACAAGAATATTACAGTATTATAAAAACAGTCAAGTAGTTTTAAAAAGCATCACGATTCACATTCTGCAAATCAGCCCCGAAACATTTCATCAACCATAAAGTTTCTCAACCGTCTTAAAAACTGTTAAACTGATGCATTCATACAGATTTCCTGAGGAGAACAGCTGCCTATCAGAGGAAGCTGAATTAAATGATTAATTGCACAAAATATTGAGATTATTTAGTTAAAATTTGGAGCACTGAGTGGATGGCAGTGTAGAAAAGCAACAGACTTATTGTAAAGATAATAACTGTTAGTGATTCACATTCACCCAATGTTCACGACGTAGTTCTGCGTTCCCATACGGGAAACAGAACCGTGACACAGCTCCGGTTCTACCGGAGCTGCTGCAGGTCCGGGGAGTTGGGCGAGGACAGCGCGGTGCTGGTGGCCGAGGCGCTGATGGGGGGAAGCTCATCACAGGCGAAGTACTCCTTCAGCGGGGCGAAGAGGTGACGGATGACCGGTACGCTCCATGCCTTGCCCAACAGCTTCTGCCGCTGCTGCCGGTTCATGTTCCTCGCGTCGGTGTAATGTTTGGGGAAACCAAAGATCCTGCAAAGAGGGGAAAAATCATGCTTTAGTTCATGTAAAGGTGGCATCTGTTTCTAACCAACGTTGGAGAATATTGATTTAATCCTACATGACACAGTGTGAGATGAAAACAAAAACTACGACAAAATAAATCTGAAGAACAAAAAGAATGTAAAGAAGTAACATGACGAAAATATGAAAGCAACGAATACAGAAAAGATCAAAAACAAACAATTCGAAGAAGAAGTGTGGAGCCTTTGCATGTTATTGTTTACGTCTTTAAATTTTGCACATGTGCAGAACGCTGGAAGGCGAAACGATGGTTGCTTCACACGGTGTTTAGGTTGCATTTTTTTAACTGAACTGAAACACATTGGATTCCACAGCACATCTACATGTTATGGTTGTCATAGTCATGCTAGCATAACAGAACTACCTTCCTCTCTCTATTTTTTCCTTACATTTTTTCCTGACCTGGTTATCTAGTTGTTGTTGTGTTGACAGTTAGTAGCAAAGCACTGCATCTGATTTATTTACATATTGCGCTGAATTTAGCGTGATATATTGATAACAGCTAAAACCAATGCTAGTCATCATTAGCCAGCAGCTTTTTGTCCTACGGCAGGTAAATGGGGCTTTTGATGTACTTTTCCAGTTCGGTGATCCAGAGGATGTCCTCTTTCCCGTTCTGCACGACCGGCAGCAAAGACACGTCCTTCCCCTGCTTCAGGGAGTTTGGATTTGTTGTGATCGTTCTCACTTTAGTTACCTGGAAATAAAATCCCCAACAACAGTCGTGAGTTTATTCTGCCGGAAATGGAAGCAGAACAAATGTGTTTTTTCTCACCCTGGCTTCTCTGCCGAGCTCCAGACAGTCCTGCAGGTTCAACTTGTCGTTCTGGGAGGCGATGATGGGCCTGACGAGTTTCGGATCAGTCACGGGTTTAAGTATCTTATTCTTTTTTTTTAATGTATTTTTTCCCAGTACATATTCTCCAGTTAATGATTAATCGATCACTAAATTAGTTAATAATTATTTCAATAATCAAATAATTGTTTTATCCCTTGGTTTCTTTATAATATTTAATGGAAATAATTATTCTTCTAGATTACCAGTTGAGTGATTTAGTAGTTTTGACTTTACAAAATTAGCTGGAAGTGTTTACAAACCAAATGTTAATAAAAAAATATACTTTTGCCCCTCCCAAATTTTGGGGTATAAAATACCAAAAAACAATAAAATATATTTTCTGCAGAAAATATATTTATACAGATATTTTATTTAAAAAAAATAAAAATATTATAAAATGTATTACAAAAATATTTTTTGTAAGAAATGTTTTTGTAAAAAAGAAAAAAAAAAACATATATAGTTATTTTTAACAAGCTTGAAATGTTTCAGAGCCGAAATCAAAAGATTCCCATTTAAACTTAAACTGTTTGTGTATAAAAACCTGGCCAGGTGAGCCAGGTTTTTACCTGTCCTGTCCTCTGGGACAGGTGGTTTTATAGCTTTTCTGGCAGTTTTAATAAACAGAGCCGTTGTTCTCTCACCTGCTCATCCCAGGAATGTTTCCCCAGAAGTATCGGGCTCTGTGCGCAGGGCTCACCTTGACCGCGTCCACCAGAACCGGCTTGCACTGCAAAAACACAGAACCATCAGCTCCTCAATCACTTCAGGGTCAGGCTTCAGGGTCAGGCGCCAGCAGGCGTGAAGCAAACCTCCAGGAAGCGGCAGATGTTGACTTTGTCGTGCGTATTCATGAAAACGACGTTCTCGAAGAGCCAGAAGAACGGCCGCTCGTCGTCCTCTCTGGGCTTCAGCATCTGCAGGATGCGGTAAAACTCGAAGAACAGTCGGCCGGTTCCCTCTGAGAGGAGAACACATAAAACAGGCAGTCAGATTAACCAGGTCAAAGGTTTTCTGCTCCACAAACATCAAAACTTCTGGTTTTGATTTTTATGATTTTATAAAGTCAAATTTAAACATTATCTACTAAGAATAATTCTGTTATTTTCATTAACTATTATAGAAACAACGGGCTAAGTCAATTAATCGTAATTAATTGATTATTGCAATAATTGTCAACCAATGTAGTAACAGATTCATAGTTTTGAATTTAGGACTCAAACTAGTAGTAATTATTTTTTCAAACAAAAAAATATATTTTATTTTAAATAAACAAAAAATATTTATTTTTGTACAACATGCAAAAGTATATTTTTAACATAAATAAATATTTATGTAAAGAAAGTAATGTATTTTATATAAAATGGATGTATTTTTGTACCGTAGAGGCCTTTCCTCAGCGGGTTGACGATGGACAGATCGTTGCAGGGGCTTCCACCAATCAGCAGGTCGAACGGCCCCCACTTCTCCAGCTGAATTTCAAAATAAAATTCATTTAAATGAGTCGCTTTTCAATGAACCAGAAAATGTTGGACATTTTTTAAATTTATTCTTCAGAAAAGGGAAAGTAAAGCAGCGGATTTAACCCACCAGCTCGTGGGAGACGAATCGGACGTCTCCAACGTGGATGATCTTTCCGTCGTGGTTGATGGTTGCCACGGCAACCGAGTCTTCGCAGATCTCGGAGGCGACATATCTCTCCATCTTGAGGCCGAGATCCTTCAGCACCAAATAGCCTGAGAAAAACAACGTGAAGATAAAAATGTTCATTTGATTTGGTTCAATTCACTGGAACAAAAACCCATTTGGATTTTAGTTTAATGTTCCCTAAAGTACAAAGATTACACCAGAAAAGTGAAATTCAGTTTCAGTTCACGTCCAGTTTCTGTTCTGCAAAGTCTAACCTTCGGGTGTGGAGCAGAGATGGTGGAAAAATTAATAAAACGAACAAAAAAACAACAACAATCCTGCCGCAGGAAGGACAGAGCACAGATGATATTAAAATTTGATAAACACAAAGAGCAAAAACCATGAATGTGAACAAGAATACAGAAACCACAGAAGATTAAAAATAGATATACGAGGAACAAAACAAATAGAAAACTACAAATTTAAAGAATATGAAGAATTCAAATAGAAAATGAGAACGAATCAGAAAACGAAACAAATAAAGTTATACATCAAACACTTTGAAAACCAGGAATGTGAAAAACACAAATAAATATATGGAAACAAAGAACAATATGAAGAAACAAAAGGAAGAAGCATTTAAAACCAAAAACCACAAAAATGAAGAAAACGAACACAAAGGACACAGACGGTAAAAATATGACAAAAATATAAAAAATGCCAAGAACACAAAATATAAGAAATTAGAGAAATGGTGCTGAAGCGATCAGAACCGTCTGGTCTGCCGGTCCGGAGGCTCACCTGTTCCGATCCCGTCGAACAGCGACAGAACCCGCAGAGGTCGGCGCATCTTGATGGGGACAGACGGGTAGACCCGATGAGGCTCCTGCATCAGCAACACACAGCTAATATCCATGAACTTTATTTAATCTGAGGAGTTTGAGTTCACATCCTCATCCCACCAAGATCGGGTCGCACATCAAAACACATCAAAACAGAACAAAAAACTTCAAGCTGCACAGAATCCAAAGAAACGTTCCCTCTTTAAGAGCCAAACTGAAAAGTTGCAGACGTCTTTTGGCTTGACGTCTGTAACAGAAAGTAAAACATTTATAGGACAACTGACATACTTTATTAACCCAAAGTAACCAGGTAACCAACAGTTGTCAATAAAAGTACATTTTTTATTTTTGGGGGCTAAAAAGGTCACTAAATTTGACACGTTTTAAAAATAATAATAATAGTAATGTAATAATAATTCTATATTTGTTGCTATTTTCTGAGAAAAAGATTTGTTTCTTCTAAAAACAAAAGTCATTGGTCGGATCTGAAAAGTTGTTAAACAGTATTATGTGTTTTCTTGGCCATTTTATAGCACAATCATGTAACTATGCTGCATTCACCTGTTAAAAAAATATTTTATATGTGAAATTTGACTGACTTTTTACCAGCGTCGCTCTGAGCAGCAGCTCCGATGATGAGCTCAGCTGTTTGCTAATAGCTGCTGGCTAGTCTGAAGGAGCTGGGAGGAGCGGCGCCTCGGAGGCGGGGCTAAGTCCACCCAGGCGTTTTGCAGCAACACTCCAGGTATAACATAATATAAAGCCCCATCTTCAGCAGGAGGACCACTAGAGGGCGCTGTCACACTTTCACCATCAGCTGAACACTCACAAACTCCATGGCGCTGTTGTTGGCAAACATCTCCTGGACGCGAAACCTCCAGTCCTCCCGGGGGACCAGCGCGCCGTGCTGCTGGTGAGGCTGGCACAGGTAACAGATCCACGGGTCCACGACCTTCAGAGAGTCAAACGTCTTTGGACCAACCAGGATGTTCAGACAGTCCTCGCAGAAAGACCTGCAGACCAAACGGGCCGAGACTAAACCGCCTGCTCTGCACGGGGTGCCTGGATGACGGAGACCAACCTGTGACAGCCGTCGTGTCCGCAGAGAATGACCTCCATGCCGTAGCAGCAGATGGTGCAGTAGGACTGGTATCCGTCTTCGTCGTAGCGATACAGCGTCTCCATGAAGTTATCCTTCAGAGGCAGAGAGTTTTAAATCAAAGCTTTAATTTGGACTGCTGCATGAACACCAAATGAAAACTCATCAACGAATCAAGAAGCTTTTGACCCTTTTTGTTTTTTAAATATTCCCAGTTTGCAGAGGCAGACATGTTGATGAACTGTTCCAGAAGTTACTGCGATAAACGATAATATTGTCGTTTTGAGACATTTTTCTACTAATATAAAGGCAGAGGCACAATAATGCCGGACTTCTATCGGGGCATTATTACCTTTGAGCAGCAAAAATGTTATTTGTGCTGCTTTTGCTTTGATATTAATGAAATTTTAAAAGGTCAAAAAGTCAATCTCATTATCCAAATATTGGTGTGAAATATTTTTGTTTTTGCTGCCATCATTAAAAAAAAACCTGACAAGTTTGATGTCAATCATCTCGACTACGTTTGTGCAGCAAAAATGTTTGTTTGTGCTGCTTTGAAGATATTAATAAAAGTTAAAAAAGTCAACCACATTATCCAAATGTAACAACAAAGGTGTGAAATGTTTGTGCAGCAAAAAGGTTTTTTTGCTTTGAAGATATTGACGATGACCTGTGGAAACTTTTTTATTAACATCTTTAAAGTGACAGCAGCACAAAAACCCCTGTTAGACACCAGTTTTGTTTGGGCGCCATCTTTACTCAGTTAGTTTGTAAAAAAAAATTTTTGTGCCACTGGTTTAAAATATTTTCCGCTGCAGCAGGAACTTACTTTGCACTTCAAGCAGAGGCTTCCTTTGAAGAGCGGGTGGGAAATCTGGATTTCTTTGGTTCCGCAGCACAAACAGAAATCTGCAGGTCAAACGGCAGGAAGTCGTGAGACTAGACTCACAGAACGACAGATAAACTCTCACTGCGAGCACCGACCTTCGATATCGAGGTTTAAGTCCAGGATCTGATTGATGGTCTTCTCTGTGAAGAGATCATTTGATCAATAATGGGAAACAACCACTCTTCATCTGTTTTGTTTATGAAACAGGAGAAAGAAAAACTCTTTGGATGTTTGCTCTGCGCACCATCTGGGCTAATGTTAGCTTAGCAAAGTCCTCCTTCGCTTCAGGAGAAGAAGACGCGTGTTTACTGAGCTTCCTGCCACAAAAACGCTTAAAATAAGTTTCAATATACTGCATTTATCTATTGAAGTTTTGTTAATTAAAGCTATGATTAGAAATGGTTTCTGCAAGGAACTGTGGATAATTAAAAACAGAATTTGGTGGAAAAAATGTAAGTTTAATTTGTAAAAACTAACTGAAAACAGGCAGTGATGTTTTAACTTCTGATTTCACTGGGAATATTAAAACGCTGGTGGAATGTTATTTTGCTATAATATTATTTTAGCCTATAGAGGTTGACAATCACATTTATTTGTCAATATTGCTTGCAATACTGTTTTCAATTACAGTGCAATAAATTACATGCCCTGCAATTAACTCCATTCATTTTACTGTTATGCAGTTCTTTCGTTTTAAAGGTGACCTGTTGTTTCTTTGGTTAGGATAGTCCTATAGTTTTAGGGCCTCTGTCACTTTAAATCCAAATGAGCTGCTGCTTTCACCTAGCAACGCCAGCGGAACTCTGCCCGTTACCTAGCAACGCCAGCGGAACTCTGCCCGTTACCTAGCAACGCCAGCGGAACTCTGCCCGTTACCTAGCAACGCCAGCGGAACTCTGCCCGTTACCTAGCAACCTGAGCTGAGTTCCAGCATGTTTGCTCAGCTGGTTTTTCCACTGTATGTTCTGTACAATGGCTGCTGGAAAAGACTGGTGGTTAGCTGTTGACTTACCACCCAGAAACTACTTGCTGCATTCTTGCTGATTGTGCAGGAGGCTCCATTCTGCTTTTCTAAGATGTACGGTTATACGTTTCCTCATCCATTTTCACGAACAAGTGTACATGTTGAATTTGGGGGCGTGGTCAGCAGCTTATTAGGATTTAAAGTGACAGAGACTCTAAAAGAATCTCAAATTCAGACTTAAATCTCGGTATCTAAGAATGATTTTGTGCACAAAATGTAATGAATGTGTTTTGTATAGGCCATAGAACCTGATCGAGGAAGAATAATAGATCAGCTTTAAGCTCTGAGGACGTTTTTAGAATCACTTCCACTTGGACGTAAACTTCCTTCATTGAGTCAAATAACTACCAACAATCCCATTGATCTACCATGGAGCGACTGTCAGTCGATACCTCTGAGTTTCTGGTCCGGCTGCGTGTACACGCCGCTGGTCACGTTGACCTTATTGTATGTTTTGGTGTAGCTCCTCTTCCTCTGTGGCACAAAGTCCGGCGACATGTCGTTATCCTCTCCAGACAGCCAGCTGTAGCTCTTCTTCAGGCTCCGTCCTCTGACTTTCTGTTTCTGCCATTTGCTTTTCACCTGGTCCCACTCGGTGTCCCACTTGTCCTTCTCCATCTGGGATCTTTCCTTTCCCTGCTTTCCGCCGAAGGGAGTCGGAGGTTTGGACCTTTTTCCAGCAGAACCCGGTCCGGTTTCTCCGTTGGTTCCGTTGGTTTTGGAGCTGGATGGCGAATCTCCGGAAGCGCAGGACAGTCTGTTGAGCAAGTTGGCTACGTGTTTCATCTCGATGCCGACTTTGTTCTCCGTCGGGGTGGAGGAGGCAGGAGTTGGGTTGGACTTCTCAAAAAGCTTCTTCTTCACCTTTGGCCTGGTGTATGTTTTAACAACACCTGGAAAACACACACAGACACAGCTTCTGGATCAGCTGCAGCTGATTTGTAGGACAGACCTGTGAAGACTCTGCTGCAGGAATCAATGCGCCCTAGATAAACTCAACCAGCCGTTTATCTGGATGAGCTTCTGGTTCTGGTTCTGCTGGACTTTTCTTCTTGTTGAAAGGAAGTTTTTCCTTTCTACCGTTGCCACATGCATGCTTACTGATTCAATTCGATTTGCTTTTAAATAATCTTGAATATCAAACTGAGCTTAATGACATGCTTGAGTCGATTTGCATGATTTATTGTTTCTTTTTCTACTACAGACTGGATGATAAAATCTTCAGTCTCAACCAGCTCTGTTTTGAAGTATAATTTTGTTAACAGAGACTTCATAATTCATTTGATTTGTTGTTTCTGTTTAGTTACTTAGGATATTTAAATGTTTTCCAGTTCCAGTGTTAAATATTCACGCGGCTGCACCTTGCTTAGGTTTGAGTCCGTCCGGACCGGTCGGCTGAAAGCCTCCGAACGCCCAGTCCAGAAACTGCTTCAGAACCTCTTCGCTGTCCTGGAGCAAAGGAGAAACTTCTTCCCACAGCGCATCGCTGCCTCCTGCAGGACACAAACGGAAATGCTTCGACCACAAAATTTTATGTTTTGAAAACGTCTCTCACACCCAGCAGCTGCCACTAGTCTGTAGAGTCGCCTAGAGCAGCTTAGGATACGGACCTGCAGCGACAAGAGGACGGCCTCTCTGTAGGTGACCAGGGTTGCAAAGGAGTTGGCGGAGAAATACTGGCCGAACGCAGCAAACGGCTTCAGAGACCTGACACTGACCTGCAATCGGAGACAACATGGCGGACGTTTTACCATCTGCAGAAAAATGGCCAGCCAGTAAGAACGAGGCGGAAAACAATGACCTGAGAGCACATTCTCTGGCCGTACCACTCCACCATCCTCTTCTGAGGAAGATGGACCTGGTCTTTGAACGGAATGATGACGCCGGGCCACGGGGCGAAACCTTCGATCTGACCCCAAACCAGCTCCCCCTACAGAAAAACACAGGAATTACAGCCATTTTACAGCACCATCAAGTGTCTATGCTACCTTCAGTTGTTATAAAAATATTTTATGTCAAACATGACGGAAAAGAAATGGGGTCTCTGTCTCTTTAAGAAGCTCCTGTTATTTCTGAGGCTTCGCCTTCAGAAAGTCATCCCAACATAGCTCCTATGTTAACCGTTTAAAAACGTTTTTATCTCTGAGAAGTAGCTCCTATAACAACTTCTTGCAAATGGTGGTCCACAAAATTCATAAAATTAAAATGCAAAAATTAGTTAACCATCATTTACTGCTCAATGATAAACATTTTTTATTAAATCTGACTAATCTGTACATATCTGCACCCCTGACATTCTGTAATGCTCCCCATGTTCATCAGAAATACACTTACAATGGATTTTTCTTCACAAGCTGGTAGTTTTTTTGTCGTATCCCAGATCAGATCCTCTTCATCGCTCGTCACGATGAAGATAAACTCTTCTTGATGAATTCCTTCACCTGCTAAGCAGCACTAAATGAGCATGACTTGCAGCAAAGCAGAAAGATGTAGAAAATATTCACGTTTATCGTCTTACTCGTCTTCGTCCGCTGGCCAGCCGGAGACTTCACGGGCTCTTCTGTGATGTCAATCACATCTGACAAAACCCAGCCAGAGAGTAAGCTAATGGAGCTACAGCGGACCCAGCTAAAGTTCAGGTAAACCGGGGAGTCCTACCTGAGGAATTGTCTGTGTAGTCCATCTCATCCACACTCCTGTTATGTTTCATCTTCTGATATTAAAGGCTTCGCTGCAGGACTCTTCTCGTCCTCTGATGAACTCTCATGTTTCACTGTGACTTTCTGGCAGCTGAAAGCCTCCACAGCAGCTAGTTTCTTCCTACCGACTGGCGATTGTCGTCCCCAAACCTCCATGTGTGGTGAGGCCACGGGAGTTTTCTCCCTGTAGGGAGGGATTTTCAGGTTCTTGTAGGCCTTCAGAGAGGAAAAAACACAACTCAGATTTTCACAGCAGTGACAAGAAAACCAGTGGTGGGCACTGCAAACTATAATGCTAGCCGCGCTAACCCTACAGTAACAATAAACATGAGTTAAGCATTGAACCAACACAGTAGCTAGCAGAAGCTAATGCTAAGGCGATGTACCAACAAAACCCATGTGATATACCAGCATGGTATTTAGTGAAAGCTAACACTAAATTACTATATTAGTACAGTATTTAGCATAAGCTAATGTTAAACGCTTTAGCATTAGAATTTAGGAGAAGCTAATGCTAAAGCGTACTACAAACAGTATTTTGTGGAAGATAATGCTGAAATGCTATATTAACATGGTATTTAGCAGAAGTTAAAGTTCTTTACAAACACAGGACCTGTATTAAACACTTCATCCTGCTCACTCGGGCCACCTCCAACCCATTCTTTAATTAAATGTGAATTCAATATGGCTTTTTGCAGCAGCCATGTTACAACTCACCTTAGCAAACACCTGTGTCTGGTGCAGAGAGCTGGGCAGCGCCAGCAGGGTCAGAAACAGCTTGTGCAGAGTGGGCCACGGTTTCATTTTGTTCAAGATCTGCACAGACAACAGCAGAGACTGCTGGTTTGATCTGAAACTTTTCACCAAAATATTCTGAATTTTCCATCTTTCTGAGGCGTCGTGGACAAACAACCCAAACATTCAGCATTTAATTTCCCAGCTTTGACCTCTTACCTTCACCCAGCTGCTGCATTCCCCACTGCTGCTCCATTCTTGGATGAGCTTCTTGAAATCGCAGCAGCTGCGTTGCAGCTTCACCTCTGGAGGCCCAGCGGCGCAGATCCCCAGCTGGACGGCCATCACTGACAACACCTCCCAGGGAAAATGCTTCTCCTGCAGGACAGAGAGAGAGCGTTCACCAGACAATCACAGCAAGATTTACCATGTTCAGGTTCCCCAAGACGGGCCACATGAAACACAAACAAAATAATAATTCCTGCAGTGCATGGTGATCTGCTGGTTGTTTAGCAAGTCTTTAATAGGAGAATTTAAAAAATTTGAACCAGATGAAGCTAAAACTTTGGCACCTGGGGAGTTCTGGGTGGAAAAAATTGAAGTTTTTTTTTTTTTTCTTAAATGCAAAATCTATTTATATTGTGCAGTTTAATTACTGCTCTCAAATGTTATTTCAGCAAACTTAAAGTTTTAGTCTGTACACTCTGAATACTGGTAGACGATTGGTTCAATAATCGATTGATTGAGATTAATCAGTTCAGAAGTATTTCTAGGGTCCAGGAAGTAAAGGATGGTGGGATTCTTACTGTGATGCGTTCTGGATTTTTCAGTATCAGCCCGATGTTCCTGAGCGTCACGTCTCCGAGCGGGCTGGGAATGCTCTCCACCAGACTCTGAAGAGCGGCTCTGTAGAACGCCTGGGCGTCCTTCAGGAACTGGGCCAGGTTCTGCTCCCCCAGGCTCGGCCCGAAGGCCCACATGAAGTCTGACGCGCGCGGCCCGATGTTGACCTGGGCCACGGGGAGCAGCTGGTCGCCGTGAAGCAGGTCCAGCTCCCGCTGCAGCAGGAAGACATGGACTTAGAAATTTAAATTATTTAAATTATTTTGTCACAAATGGTGATTAAATAGCTAAACATTACTCTATTTTTAAAAAACTGCATGACAGAATTCAGCACCACAGACATAAAAACTTTCCTTTTAGTTTTTTGTTTTACATATTTGAAATGCAACCAAACTGCTGGGCTGACCTTTCCTCTTTTCACAGATCTGTCTACATGTTGTTTTTTTATTTTAAGCATTTAAAGGGAGAAACTTTAAACTGGAAGTTACTCAGCAGGTTGTGCTAGGCAACCAAAGAATGAGTGGGTTGATGCCTCGCTCTTTGCTGATTGGCTGATTCCCCAGAATGTTCTGGAGTTCAGTGATTTTCTGTCCGATGCATTATCTACTGATATGGTTCATGTGTCTATTTCCAATATATTGTTGATTTTTTTGTCCAGGCCTACTGACAGTTTTATCTGAAATGTTTTTATTATTTTCTCCACTATTTGTTTCACCAATAAATATCAGTAAGTTATTTAAAACTGAACTGATGATACCAACTTCTCCAGGTTTCATTTTAATGGAATCGATCTCCAGCAGCAGCAGGTAAAGAGTAAAATTTCCAGATATAAACAATAACATGCTATGTAAATTGAATGGGATGTATTATGTATTGCTATTGATCATGTGCATTTCAATGTAATTGTTGTTGACTTATTTTCCAGTCCTATAAGCGATACTGCAGGTGCCCACCCCTTGGAGGAAGCGGTCGACGGCGTGCGGCTGGAGGATGCTGGCAGTGTAGGACTGCATCAGGATGGCAGTGATCTGCAGCTCTTCGCTCAGCTCCGTGATCCTGGCCCGTTGCAGCTCGTTCAGCGCTCTGAGGGGCTCCAAGGCGTGGGACAGGAACAGGAACTGCATCCGGAGCGTGTCGTCCAGCAGACGGCTCTGGATCGACACTTCTGCCTCATTTAGCGATTTAAAATACTCCCGCAGGTCCTGCCACCGGGCGGCCATCTTCTGCACGGTGTGGGCCAGGAACAGAAACTGTGGGGCTTGCGGCCCGGTGTCGGCGAACACATCCTTCAGGCTGTCGTTGCTGGACGGGCAGATGGAATAGTGGCAGTGGACGTCTGTGATGAGGTCGACGGCGTGGCTGAAGGCGGCAGTGAGTCCGGCCCGGCAGGCGCGCTCCGCGATCCCCGGGATGCTGCAGAGCGACACCATCTTGGGGCTGAACGCCTGCAGCCGTGACACAAACACCCGGCTCAAGCCCGGCTGCGGCGTGCTGCAGTAGAACGCCGCCAGGTTGGACAGCGGCAGCTCGTACTTCCGCAGCGCCTCCACCAGCAGCCAGGCGTCCGAGTCGGCGACGCGCGCCATGGCGTCCGTGTCCATCGGCTGGCGAGGGTCGGCGCTGTCGGTGCTCATCTGTAGAGTGTGCAGCAGCTTCACCACGCTTCGGCATGAACGCTCATCGAAGTATCCAATCAGCAGGACGCTGGCGCTGCGTCCTGCGCCCAGCTCCACACTGACATACAGGTAAACACAGTACGGCTGGTCGGTGACGGCTGCCATGATGTCCTCAGGCTCCGCTGAGTAAACTTCATCCTGGAAATAAGTTCTGATGAAGTTCACCAAATCGCTTGCGGAAATCTGCCTGTCCAGGCGCTGGATCTGCTTCTTCACCTGAGCCTCCTGCTTCAGATCGGGTTTCTGATCCGTCGACATGTAAATCAAGTCCTCGTCATCTTCTGACATCAAACAGATCACATCCAAACTCTGACGGTTTTTCACTGCTGCAAAATCCATATTTACAGGAAGTTCAGTGATCCTGGGAGAAGCAGGCGGGACGAATGCGCACCTGGACCTAAAAAAAAAAAGGAAGAGTTATTCTTAAAAATTATTTTCTGTGATGGAAAAACTTTCTTTCATAAATCATAACCAAAACCATCAGACTAGACTGACACAATTAATTGGATTGATTATCATTAATTATTAGGCCTTTTGCAAAAAGCAATAAATCAATGAATCAATTAATCACATAATAGATTTAAACAAGCTCATTAATTTCCATTTGGTTGTTAGCATTTCTCTCTTTCTGACAAAAACTGGGAGATAAAACTCTTCAGTCTGGTATTTTGGTCTTAAACACCCCTTTTTTGCAGGACAATTTTGTTTCACAAAGACTTTAGAATTTATTTTGTTTGTCGTTTCTGTTCTTTTGTTTATTTATTTTGGATTTTTTAAATGTATTCCAGTTCCTGTGTTAAATGTTCAATAGGATGTAAAGTTTGTTCATCTTTGAGAAGGTGTTCAAGCATTATTAAGCAACTACTATATCACTGGAAAATTTGTTTCAAAACAACATTATTGTTTAATGATAATGTTTAATAACTTCTGGAACAGAAGATTTGCTATTGTGACTTGCCTTATTAGTTGTGATTAATCTATTGTTTAGATAATTGTCAACCAATTTAATAATTGATTAATTGTCAACTGGTGTAAAAAGCCCCCCAAAAAGACAGCGTTATCAAAAACGGCTATTTGTTTTATAAGAAAGAGCAAAATTAGAATGGATAAAAGTACTAAAATTCTGCCAGAAAAAAAATAAAAATAAAGAAAGAAATAATATCTTCTACCTAAAAAAATGACAAAAATTATAATTTCATTTATATTGAAAATAAGCATTTCTGCGAATTGCGAATTTTTTTAAATTTTGCTGCAAGGTCCATTTTATTCCGACTCCAGTCAGGGTCATTTAAACGCCTCTGACAGCCTACGCGTCTCCAATTGGTGGTGACGCGGTGACGTCATGACAGTTCCACCAATCGGGCTGAAGCGGGTAACTTTTCAGCCAATACAAACTATCCAAATAACTTTCCAAGACATGCTTTAAAAACATGGAACCGGGCAAGTTGGGGTGTTCGGGGTAAGAACAACCCAACCAAAGGAAACAATGAAGCCTGAGCTGAACTGTCGCTCACCAATCACACAAAAATGACAACATTGAACAACACAAACGTCATCAAATTACAACTGATTGTAACGCTGCAGTTACGAATAGCTAGTATTTAAATGGTCCGGAATATCAAGGCCGAAAATCAACATTTAAAGAGTTTAGAATGGTTAAACGTGAACCTAACGATGGTGAAAACACAACTGGCCCATTCACTAAAGAAATAACTGAAACCGACTTGTTTCAGTCTTTTACAAACAAGCCTCAAATTGTTTTGAAGAATACGTAAAAATACCAACCAGTCATAAAATACCAATTTTCGAATGTTTAAGAATAGGGTAAAAGTTTTAGGTTTGGACACAACGGAGAATAACTTTGACCAAGTTTGATCATCGTAAATATTTAATTTAAGGATCTCATCACAAGTAAAATAAATAAATAAATAAATAGCGAATTAACCCTTTACTCCAATCGGATGCTAGCTTCTGCGTCGCTGGTTACGTACAAGTACGTTAAGTGAACCAAACCAAACAATGTAGCTACATTTCGATGAAACAGCGGCCCAAGTTGTCAAGCTGGATTGTTTGTCAATGTGTTTACATTTTATCTGGTATTCAATAGTTAAGATTTTAGTTGAACACGTGGGAAATGTGCTAAAAAAGACAAGCTAAACTTACCACGCCGATCCGTCCGTCCTCGCTACCTCCAGCCGTCGAACCTTTAAAGAACCCAAAACGTATATCCTTCCGCGAGGAGCAAAGCCCCGGTCCCCCACTGCGAGGTTTCCACAACCTTTTATCGGCTTGACCGCTAGTACTAACCGCTCAGATAATAATAGTTGGTTAATGGACAACAATTGTCAAAGTAGATCGTTAAACAGTGTCTAAAGTAATTCTCGGCCTTTGGCTAGAACACCAGAGTACGTAAAAACGAGCAAATCTTTCTAGATTTTTTCATATCGAGACGCCATTTGTAGTTAGCTTCCAGCTAACATCAAATGTATGGCATTCAAAGTGATAGGCGTCAGACTACGCTAAAATCAACGCCAATGTTTCGAAAAGCTCATTTTTACTCCGATTTCCCCAATAAATGAGTTCTGAAACAGTTTATGTTAACGTATTACTGCGACAGGCGCATTATAAATGCAAACAAATGAAGATCTGCCCCCTTTTGACAAGAAGGCCGCAGGGCAATTAAAAATGATAATTCACGAACCCCCCGTTTCTACTGTTCAGTTCAAACACAAACGACGCCTCGCGAAAGTTTTCTCAACGTTTTAACTTTTCCACTTTTCTAATGTTACAACCGCAAACCACACTGTATTCATTTTAGATTAATTTTATGTCGAGAAAACGGAAAGTAGAGCCTAACTGTGACGTAGAAGGAAGATGATACACGGTATTAGAGTATGTGGTATTTATTTGTATTCAGATTCTCTTATGGTATTTTCTGTAAGATTTATACACCTAAAAAACTGAAATTTGCCCATTTTATTCTTTCTAAAGCAGCTCAAACTAAATGGATAAAAGAAATACTCGTGTCTGGTTTAGCTTAGATTTTGTGTGGATCGTGAATAGGCTTCAACCATAATATTGTTACTCTGACTGTATTATTCTGCAGGGTTACTGTCCTGCTGGAAAGGAGATCTACTTTCCCAAATCTCTATATTCCCATCAACATTTACCAGTTTCTTATTCTTTCGGTATCATGGCGGCTGGCAGCCGTTTTATATGGAGAATTACCGCCACCCACTGGCGTGGAATGTGAATCACCAGTGTACGAACAAAAAAAATGATTCAAATTATTTTAAATCAAAATTTTGCTTTTCAGTAAACCATATAAATATTCAAATTATTTATTATAATTAGTTCCAAAAAGCTAGAGTAAAAACTAAAGATAAAGCAATTTTCAACTTATTTGGATAGGACCAAATGAAAATATTACATTGAAATGACAATGAAATTAACTTTCATTGTAAGACATGCAATATTTTTCTTTACACAATTAACATCATTACTACAATAAAGTAAGATAGGAGCTTATTTAAAGTGAATAATTCCTTAGACGAAAGTAACAGTTCCACTGGTAAATTATTTCACTTAAAACCTTATAAATTTCACTTATAACATTGTTATAAGTGAAATAATTCACCTGTGAAACTAGAACTTTTCATCAATGATAATGATTTTTTTATTTGAAACAAGCTCATATATGTTGCTTAAAAGTAACTTATAAATTGGTCTTATTTCAAGTGTGCTGACGTATTTGAACAAGAAACTAGACAAAAAAAAAAAAGCTTGGTAAATTTGTTTTTTTGCAGTGAAGTTCAAAACATCCCTTCATATCCCCTACTTCAGCATCTTTCTACCAGTACAACCAGACAGAGATTTAAAGTAGCATAAGCAAATGTGGTGGACTAGCAGTGTGTTCTAAAAACTAAACACGTTATTTGTTCATGGTTGTTAGCAGGTCATGATAGTTTTCTGTCAAAGGCTTCTTCAAATCTGCTACTTGAGATCCTTTCTTCCCCAGTCTTTCAAATTGGGAGCCGTGGCCCTCTGGAGGGCCACCAGGGGGCGGTAGAGAAGCCTCAGAAAGTTAGAGGATTAAAAAGAAAAATGAAATCTAATAGGTCTTTCAATTATAATTTTTAGGTCTAATCTGTTTTTCAGTTACACATGGTTCCCACAAGTTTGAACCAGAAATGATTTGTGCCATTCAACCGCCATCTTGGTAGGCAAAGGATAGATGGTCCACAACTTAAAGAACATCAAAAAGAAAGTACATTAGGAAAAAAAGTTTAGGACTAAATAGTTGTAATGTACTGATATTATTTATAAGTTAGATACGAACAAAGCAAGAGCTAATTCTGAGTTTGTTTATTGTCATAGCAACTCCATAGCAACTGCCTATCATGATGGCTGACAGTTACAAAGTAGTCTTCTTATAAAATAAGTTAAAACAACTTGTTGAAACATAATTTGAAAACTTTAGGAACTCCTGCCAACTAAAGCCAGAAGAAATGAAACAAAATTTAAGCTGAACATAATAATTATTGAATAGTGAGTAAAAGTGGGTGGAAAAGCAAAAACACTTAAAGAAAAAGAACTGACACCTGTTTGTGTTCTGTGCAGCAATGCTGCTTTTTATTATATAAAACATTATAAAAGCAGCTACAAGTAGTACAAGTGTTTCTCTCTAAACTGTTGCAAAACAATATAAAAATAACTCGATCTCTGTATCCGAGATGATTTTAAAGGCGAGGTTAATATGAAAAAATATACTGTTAAAACAAAAAATACAGCAACTACTCTGCAGATATGGTCTAGTTTACATGCCTAAAAACACTCTCATACATGACATAAAACTCCTAAAAAATCTGCTAAAATGTTCAGAAACATTAAGCTGGATAATATTCTAAAAGCAAAGCAAACTAATAATACTTGTTAGTTTAAAGCAGAAGATGAGAGGTTTTAATAAAAAAAAAAAAAAAATATATAAACTAAGCATGAAAAAACTAAGGTAAAAAAGTGTTCTTATGAAGGCTTGAGTGTCTAACAGGAATCCTTCCTGCTGAACAAAGTCTTGTAAACCTTTTTCTGCGGATACAGTACGTAAAAGAAACCGTGCACCATGAGCAGATCGTAGATTTCAACACGGATCTGGTGACAGATTTTACATTTCAGGTCACTTCAAACACAACCTGGCAGGAAAATACGTAGAGCTCAGAGGTTTCTGGCGGATACAGTACAAAATGTTCAGAAATGTGCAGATTTCCCCGAAAAGGCCGAACAAGTTTCACAACATTTAGCCAACAGCAGTCAGTAGCAGAACACGAAGTAAGCTTTTTGGTTTAAAACTGTTTCACATTTTCTTTTTGCTGATTTAACAGATCAAATCCAACAGAATCAGACGCTGAAAACTTTCTAAATAATCTGAAGATTTGCTTCCAAATCCAAACATCTAACAAGAGCACAACATTTTGGAAACTTTTAGGAAAGATTTGAACATGGGAATGAGATTCAAATGGACCAAATTTATTTCCCCCATTTTTACCTATTTTGAGCAATAAATTAAAGTTTATCCACTTATTTATTGTTATTTACATCAGAGTGAACTTTGTTACAAAAACACAAAATCTTAAGTATTTTCAGTGTAATTTATATTGCAAATATCTTAGTATACTTGGAAAAAGACAAAAATAACTTATAAGTAACTTTCATAGAATCATAAAAGAGCTTGTTTTGGTCAATATTTCTGTAGTGATAAAGTGTGAGGGAAACGTATTCAGAGCACTTAGCTTAGAGTGAGAACTTTTTCATCAATGTTAAGGAATTACTGATTTGAAAGCTCTTGAAAACTTACTTATAAGTTTGTATTTTTTTTACTGTAAAAAGATTTTTCGCAATAGAAACTAGATGAAAATACTTGGTCAGATTTTGTGTTTTTCCAGCAAAGTTGAGCAAAACAACTCTGTTCACTCCGGTTGGACAAATAAACTTCAGTTTATTGGTCAAAATAAATAAAAATGAGGAAAATAAAGGAGGGTTTTTTTAAATAAGTGTCGGTTTTGTTTTTACCAATTATAATGAGAACGAAGTGGATTTGTTTAGAGTTTTATCGTTTCTTAGGGACTTTAATAAACTCCGGTTCTGATTCTGGATGAATCGATGGGCTTTTTCTCTTTTTAATCGTCCAATAAGAGCCGCCCTGGTTTTTCTGCAGCCCTGGTTTAAATCAAAGTAACTCTCTCCATGCGAAAGTGGCTGAGACGTCTTCAGGTCCCTGTGGTTTCTGCTTATTCGCAGGCGTAGTAATCTTTGAGCGGCGCGAACAGATGCCTGATGACCGGCACGCTCCAGGACCGGCCCAGCAGCCGCTGCCTGGCGCCGCGGCCCATGTTCGACACGTCGGTATAGTGAACCGGGAATCCAAAGATACTGACAAAACAGTTAGAAAAAGCATTAAGAGTCTATACGGCAGGCTGTTTTAGCATTAAATCACATGACATATTTATGGAAGTACTTCCTCTCAAAGCTCAAGAAAACGTAAATTTCTCATGAACAATGGAACTGGGAAACATTTCAAATATCCAAAATAAAACAAAACAGTAATAAATAGTTTGCACTGTTTTCCCTGTCTGAGCTGAATGATTATTATATTTGAAAGTGTAATTTTAATTACCAAGACTTCATATACATTTTAATTATTGTTGTTTTGGATATTTATAATGTTTTCCAGCTCCGGTGGTAAATGTTTATTAGAAATTCAAGTTTTTTAAGCTTGGAGAGGATGCACTTACATGTCATTATTACTGTTATATTAGTAGAAAATGGAGTCAAAATGACAATATTATCATTTAATGCAAAAATTTCAGGGAGAACTTTTTGTCTACTACATTTATTTCTAGTCATAAACCTGTTATGAGGAATGTGAGTGTTGGAAGTGATTTTATGCTAAACGGCCTGCCGTAGAGGCATTCCTGCTCACCGCTCCAGCTCCGTGCACCACAACACGTCCTCCTTCCCGTTCATCAGCACCGGGAAATGCTGGTCCTTCCCCTGTTTGATGGAGTTGGAGCGAGTGGTGATGGTTCGCACCTTCCCGAACTGACAGAAAACACGAGCCGTCAAACTCCCAGCGGAAAACTCTGCAGGTAAAAACCCGACTAACGTGTTTATGTCTGACCTTTGCAACCCGTCCGTGGTCCAGACACTCCTGCAGCTCCAGCTTGTCCATCCCAGAGGCGCAGAGCGGCCTGAAACACGCAGTTCCACTACAATCAACGTAAACGCAAGTCTGAGGAGAAACGAGGCGTTTCCCTGCGTACCTGTTCATCCCTGGCAGGTTCCCCCAGAAGTAGCGTGCGCGGTGGGCGGCGGAGACCTCTATGGCGTCAATCATCACAGGGTTGCACTGCGAAACACACACAAAGGTCAGAGGTCAGCTGGAATAAGTGTCACGTGAAGAGAAGGAAAGTGGCATCAGAAATGTATAAATCTTGACTTGGAAACTCATTCAGCCCAGTTTAAAATAACAACCAGGAAGCTAACTCATGCTAGCTCACGTTAGCTAGCACTAGCTAGCTCAGGTTTCTAACAAAACCAAAACGTCTTCATTCTGAATGCAACAATAAATGGTCATTTTAGAAGTTCTTATGTAAAATCTGTTTTTAAAATCCACAACAGAATTTTAAAACTAGCTAACTTCAAGCTATGCTAACTGTTTATCTTAATTCTTTCCATTTTTATAGAAAAACCTAATTCTACTTTTCCCTCTTGCAATAAATTCATTTTGCTTTAAATTCTGAAAATTGAATAAATTTTAGTAATTTGTTAGCTCTCATAATAAAACATTTTGTGTATTAAGAAAATAGTTTTTTGCATCTCCAGGTGAATTTTATTTTGTAGCATCGGAGGCAAAAGTGTCTTTTTGAATGGGAAAGGTTGCTAACCCCATCTGATGCGAGATGTGTTAATATTGAGGGATTTTTATGGATTATTTATTCTCATAATTTTCTAATACATCAAATTTTTTATAGTTTTTTGGACACACAAAGATGCCTGACAAGAGAAGAAAAAAATAAGTAAATGGATCAATAATTATAATTTATGACTTCATTTTTGCAGTTTTATAATTTTAGTTTTTCTTAGTATCACCAATACTCCATCGTACTAAATAAAAATATAAAAAATGTTCATATTTATATTTATCAAAGAATTTCTCAACAAAAATGTTTGTTTTTTAATTTATATAGTTTTTGATTAATTGCGATAAATTAATAATTACAGAACTCTAACTCCTGATTTGAAAGTGTGGTGGCCCAGAGCGTGCGGATGCGTTCGGCTGACCTCCAGGAAGCGGGAGATGTCCCTCTTGTCGTTGACGCCCATGGCCACCACGTTCTCGAACAGCCAGAAGAACGGACGGTCTTCTCCTTCTTTGGGCTTGGCCTCACTCAGCAGGCGGTAGAACTCAAAAAACAGCCTTCCTGTTCCTCCTGCAGCAAAACAGACTCACATCAGGGTCTAGTGTTTTCAGGATTAAGAAGAAGCATTAAAAACAGAAGTTCCTCTGTGTGTAATTGATAATGTGTTTTTTATAGAGATTTTGTTAAAAGTACTAGAAAAAGATACTTTTCACACACTACTAAATGTTACAAACAGGAATCAACACATGCACCAACCAAACAGGCCTTTTCTGGCCGGATTCACGATGGAGAGGTCGTTGCAGGGACTTCCTCCGATCACCAAGTCAAACGGCCCCCACTCCTGAATCTGAGGCGACAGCACCACCTGGTGTTAGACTTCAGGCATTACACCGGAAGCAACGTTGGCACACCAGCCGTTTGTTAACAGTACAAAGGCAAGTTAACTCCACAATGTTTACAAGACAAACATTGTGGTTAATCTGTCACAGTCGTTAATTGATTGCTTTAATTTAAATGGGACACTGTATATTAATCTCCAAATAATTTTGGATTTCAAAATGCTAATTTCAATCCATAGCTCCATCAAACAAACGACACAAGATGCATTTATGCAATTTCATACATAAACCCAAGAAATACAGTAAAACAACAACCATATACATGGTTTGGAAAAACTATTTTAAGAGGTTTATATCAAAATGCTACTTTATAAAACTGCCACAAACTACAACAGTAATATTTTTACCACTGATTTCTAATTGTCACAGTTTCAAACTAAACATTAAATTAGCAAACAAATACTTTGCTCTGAGGAATCTAGTAACAGTCTGGCTTAATTATTGTTCTGAAAGTGTTTTATTCTTCAAATGGCATAATTCTGAGCCTGTACACTCCAATAAACAATTAATCAATATCTAAAGTAGTTTATGATTATTTCAGCAATCGATTAATAACAATTAATTGTTCCAGCCGGTCAGGATGTTTCCTTCAAGCTGAGTTCAAACGTTTCTGCTCGTGTCTTGGAGAAAGAAAAGAAGGAGATCTGTCCAAGGACTCGTTAAATATGGCCCCTCTGGTGCAACCAGAGGGGCCATATTTTACGTTTAACCCGCCTTTTCTTACGTTTTTCCTGGTGATGTTCCTGACATCATGGACGTAGTGGATCTTTCCTTCATGTCTGACCACACCCACCGAGATCGAGTCCTCACACACCTCCGACGCCACATACTGGTCCACTTTAAAGCCCAGGTCCCTCAGAACCAGGTAGCCTGGAGCCGGAAACACAAACGAAACAACAGAAACATCAAATTGGAAATAAATCAGAAAAAAGTTTTTTAGGACGCAAGTTCCTCAGTTTCCCCCCCAACAAGGAGAGATTTTATACCAGAATAATTGCAAAAAGTCCCTGGAAGTGTAAATCTTGGGGTAAAAAGAGGCTTTATGGTTCCTCACCAGTAGCAATGCCGTCAAACAGGGAGAGGACTCTGATTGGTCTTCGCTGCTCAGCAGGGACTGCTGGGTAAATCTTTGGCTTCTCCTGCAGAAGGAGGAGAAAAAACACTGAAGGTCAGTTAATCGATGAATGAAGGGATGGATAATTGGGCTGTTGGATGGCTGGTTGGATAACTTCACGTTTCAGAACTTTGCCTTCTTTTAAACCTTGAAGGTAAACATAACATTCTGACCAAAACAAAGATGGTGTCGCCCATCCGGAGGATAAACTGAGCGGTTAGACTCACAAACTCCTGTCCTTTATCATTGGCGAAGAACTCCTGCAGCTTCAGGCTCCAGTCGTGGCGCCGTTTCAGGACGCCGTACTGGAGCAGCGGCTGGCACATGTAGCACCGCCAGGGGTCCTGATACCGGGCGTTGTTGGACGCCCCAGGGTCCACCAGGATGTCCAGGCAGTCCACGCAGAAACACCTGGTGGGACAACACAATGAGGCACTAGCATTACCTCACACCTGACTTGGTATGACTGTGGTAGAGAGAGCTACAAACATTTAGCTAGTGGAGCGCTAACTGTAAACTAGTGAAACAATAGTTCTGCTAACGCTAACGAGCTGTACCGGCAGTATTTAGAGGAAGCTAATGCTAAAGTGCTAACTCCAACCATTTGTCAATAACACAACATACTACAACACAACAAATAAACGTCAACAGGGTTAATAAACAACTACTGGTATAGAAGTGAATCTCATGGTTTCTGCTTTATGGTTGCTGAGTTTTGCCAACTCTGTTGCTGATTTTGCCTAAATGACCACAGCAGCGGTTCTTTCCTCCAGAATCTCAGGGATCAAATAGACAGATTTTTTTCACAGATTTTCTGTCTCATATTATGGTGACATTTTTTATAAATATGTAAGAATTTTTTTAAATAACGTTACAACCTGCAGCTTTAAACTCGGCTTTAAATAATTTTATAACCTGGGAAAGATCCGACCATTTTATAGGTCCTGATGGGTAAAACGGCAGAATGAAATGACTCCATGTTTTTTGTGTAATTTTTTGAGTTTTTCTGACTTTCTTGCAGCTGAACGATTTTCTGGAACGGACCTGCAGCAGTTGGTGTTTCCGCAGAGCAGAACTTCTCGGCCACCGCAGCAGACTGTGCAGTAGGACTGGTAGCCATCGTCATCGTACATGTAGGAGGTCTCTAGGTACACATCCTAAACACACACACACACACACACACACACCAGTGTTTTATCACCGCTGTCATCCTCTGGTTCAGAGATCCGATCTGGAGCGGCCCTCACCTTACACGTTTGGCACAAGCCTCCTTCAAACAGTGGGTGGAAGGTTACTGCTCTCATCTTTCCACATGAGAGACAAAACTCTGACGAATCGGATAAACAAAGACGAGTCAAATCAAAACACAGCTAGGAATTTATGTGCTGCAGCGGCGTTAAATACCCGGACTGTACCTTCAATACTTCGGTTCTTTTTCTGTACTTCATTCACCATTTGTTCTGGCAGAAAGGAAGACGTTGAGACAACAGGAGTGACAGTATTTTGTATGGTAGTGCCAAATTTAAGATTACACATGTAGCGGTGGCTACTTGCTAAATGTAGCGGTGGCTACTTGCTAAATGTAGCGGTGGCTACTTGCTATATGTAGCGGTGGCTACTTGCTATATGTAGCGGTGGCTACTTGCTATATGTAGCGGTGGCTACTTGCTATATGTAGCGGTGGCTACTTGCTATATGTAGCGGTGGCTACTTGCTATATGTAGCGGTGGCTACTTGCTATATGTAGCGGTGGCTACTTGCTATATGTAGCGGTGGCTACTTGCTATATGTAGCGGTGGCTACTTGCTATATGTAGCGGTGGCTACTTGCTATATGTAGCGGTGGCTACTTGCTATATACATTCTGAAGCTAACCATTGGTCTGATTAATGGCAGGTTAGCATGGTAACTTAGCAGCAGCTGCTGGAAAATCCGAAGGAAAAGACTCATTTATGCCAACCTACAACAAGCTAGTGACTAGCATACCTGGGCTGGTCACCCATTGGATTGTCTTCTTCCTCTGTTGTCCATTAGCATGGATAGGTTAGCATTACCTTTGGTTAGGCTAACAAATTGCATGGCTTAGCTCATCACTCACTGGATTGCCTACTCCCAATCTACTTCCGCCTGGATGAGCTAACAGTAGCCTATCAAGGCTAATGGTAGCTTATCTTTGTTAATAAAAGCAGAGGATGAAGAAGGTAATCCAACAGGTGATCCAGAAAAGTTGCTGGCCTATCCAAGGTTCACACTAGACTTTCAAAGCTAAAGCTAGCCATTCTCTATTAATGGAAATCAGAAGAAGTAGACAATCCAGTGGGTAGCCAGCCTGGACATGCTAGTTGTTAGCCTCGACAAGGCTAATGGTGGCCAATTGAAGTCTAACACTAATGTAGCCAATCTCTGCCAATTGAGGAAATAGGCAATCTAGTGGGTGACTCCATTTATGCTAGTTGTTAGCCTGATATAGGCTAGCTCTTAGCCTATACATAGCTAATGCTACCTTATCTCTGCTAATGGACAGTAGATAATCCAGTGGCACTCCTGTGGAAAACTAACTGAGTTACCAATTTCTTCCCACCATTAATCAGATTAGCAGCTAGCTTCAGAATCAATATGGCCTCCTGCAACAAGGAAGCAATAGTTTAATTTTGGCACTAATAGTGCGCCCAAGTGATCATGCCAGGTGAGCCCTACCTCTGCTACAGGGCTCCTCGGGCGCAGCCTTGGCCTTGCAGGAGCTGACTTTGGGCCGCTTAGCGCTGGGGAAATACTCTGGCAGAGAGACGTTGAGGATCTGGTGGTCCAGAGGGTTACTGCCTGCAGACACACAGACACACGCTCACACTCTTCTACTGTACACGACCGATCTCATGTTTTCTTTAGCTCACTGGCGCTGCGTGTCGGTTTGAGTCCTTCCTCTCCTTTGGGCTGGAAGCCGCCATTGGCCCAGTCCAGCATGGGTTTGATCTGGTCCTCAGGATTGTCCGACTCGCAGGGGGGAAACGTCTTCTCTGCCCTGACACTGGCCATCTGAGACAGAGACAGAAACGTCACAAAACCTCAAACTCACCTGTCTGACCACACTGCGAGGCGTCAAGACCCACCGAGAAAAAATAATGACACCAGAACAATCCAGATGGATTAGATTAGCAGAAACAGGCAAAAGGTTTTGGTATCAGCTAAAATAGAAAAGTTTTGATAATTAACTGGATTAAACTTTTGCTTGTTAAAAACAATTCTCAACAAAATCCTCACTGACAATTAAACAAAATAAATACTAAAGTAAAAGTAGTACTACTCCAAACATATATTTACTCAGGTAAGAGTAGAAAATCTCCTAAAAGTAAAGATTTTCAAAGAAGTTACTCAAGTAAATGTAACTGACGGATATAAAGTTAGTTGATGTTTTTGGGCCTGAAATAGAAGTTTAAACGTTTAAAACACAATACCTTTAAACGGGGTGTCAAACTCCAACCCTCGAGGGCCACAGGTACAAAACACAGGAATGAAATGGCTTATTTACCTCCACCTTGTTCTCCAGAGCCTGGCTAATCACCTAATTATCCTATTCAGGTGTGGTGCAGCTGAGGCACATCTAAAAGTTGCAGGACACCGGCCCAGGAGGACTGGATGCTGACACCCCTGCTCTAAACCTTTTTTTCATGTCTGTTCAATTTTAAACAGAAGAATTTAATTTGAGTGAATTTTAAACCACATTTTAACTTTATGGCTCAGCAAAAAGAACCAGGTGTGTCTCTCCTGAGTTCTGTTTTCATCAATGTGTATCAAAGACCTGCGTCCTCTGTTAGATAACACACAGGGACACGCACACACACACACACACATACGCACACACTGTGCTAGGAAGCTTCTTGTAGATCGGTAGTTTCCTTTCAGAGTCTGTGTGCGTGTGTATGTGTGTGTGTGTGCGTGCGTGTGTGTATGTGTGTGTGCGTGCGTGCGTGTGTGTGTGTGTGTATGTGTGTGTGTATGCGTGTGTGTGTGTGTGTGTGTGTGTGTGTGCGTGCGTGTGTGTGTGTATGTGTGTGTGTATGCGTGTGTGTGTGTGTGTGTGTGTGTTTCAGACACATCTGTTTTCTTATCTGCTTCACACTTTATAAATTTACAGAATGTAAACAGAGACGGCGCCAGCTGGCATAAATGCTAAACCAGCTGAGTTTGACCTGAAGTTCTGAATACTTCACTCCAAAGCTTTAAAAAGTGAGAAAACGTTGATCTTTCACGTTTTTTCTTCAACTGAAGTCACTGTTGAAGGAGCTGAAATGTCCCTTTCTCAGGTCAGAGAGAACCTGAAGGAACATTTTAATGGAAAACTGCAAGACTGCATCTGGATATTCAGGGTCCAGTATGAATGCAGTTAATGTGTAACTAATAATGTGTAAGTAGTTTCTGGACCTGCTGGAGGCATTAGTCTGTCAGAGCAGCTCTGTTAGTTTACATAAGTCTTCACTTATCAGGAACTGAATCTGATGAAACATTTGTCTAAAATACGGCTGCAGGGATTCATTGGATTTATCACTTACTGAAATCACTAACTTAGCGAATTCCAGGCAGAACAGTTTTTGTAACTTTGAAGAAGAATGAACGTGCAGAAGAATAAACGTAGAGATTCGGCCATTTATGCTCATAATCAGGTTCTGAACATTTTCATAAATATATTAGACCGACATGTTACAAACACTTAAAGATGCCACTTTGAAACATTCATTATCCTTCAATTTGTTTTGATTTTGAATTAGCTCCTGCTAAAGGTGCTAGTTCTACGTAAAGCTATGAGGTCTAACTAATGGCATTAGCTCCTGCTAATTCTGTTAGCGCTAACTAATGATGTTTCCTCTAAATAATGATGCTAGCTCATTAGCATTGGTCTAACTCCTTTGCAAACTTAAGCAATCAGCTGTGTTAAACTTGAAAAAGCACCTCGACTCCTGAAAGATGGCCTTTCGGTAGGAGGCCAGCTTGGTGTACGAAGCCTGGCTGAAGAACTTGGGGAAGGCCATGAGAGAGTCCAGCTTGTCCGCTGAAACCTGGACACAGAAATCACACGGAAAGGTTCAAAACCCAAGATAAACACTGCTTTTCCTGCTGTTTTCTTCAAGACGGCTGGGCGTTTTCACCTCAGAGAACTTTCCGTCTCCGAACCACTGCAGCCATCTCATGCCGTGGCTGGCCTGCCGTTTGCCCATTGCACGCCACGTCACCACGATGCCCGGCCACCAGGAGAAACCCTTGATCTTCCCCCAGACCAGCTCGCCGACGCCAAAACCTTTATTATCCTGCAGACAGAACAGGACAAGACACAGTGAGCTAACCGTGTCCAGACACGAAGCTCTGAACCATGAAAGCATCTACAAATGTCTGCAAAACTTTGTTAATATTCTCTAATGTCAAAAAAAACATTTCACATTTGAGATGTTTCCATTAAAATAAGGAACATGATTACAATCACGTGAACAGTCATTAAAGACATGCCACGTCATGATCCTCCAGCTACTTCCTGTTGTCGTCTTCTTTGCTGTTTTCGCAGTGGCTACGTCCGGTTGTTGATCATGTGATGTGAAAAAAGTGTTTCCATCGCAGGTGTTGGAAAAAAGTAAAACATTTTCATACAGCCAAAAAAACCAGCCTCATTCTACAAACTTTTATTTAAAAAATTAAAAACTTTTTTAAAAATATCATGTTTCCAAATAGAAATGCAGTTTCTAGAGGAAACACATGTAGAAAAGAAAACTAAGTATTTAATTCACAAAATAAAACAGGAAGTCACCAAAGTGAACAACATCTGTATTTAGCTCACAAAAGTATGGATCTATCTTTAATCAATAGTTTAGCTTATTAGTTTGTTTAAAACAGGAACAATGTGCAAAACTCTAACTTAAACTAGTTTTAAGTCTCAATAAGCCGTCCAAATAATTGCTGCACAATGTCATAAAATTATAACAATAGAAGTAATAATAATGGAAAAACTACAATTATTTTTAAAATAAGAAAACTGCAAGTTTTCTGAAATGACAAGAAAAGTCCTTCAGGTCAGTGAAAGTTTCAGACAAAAATATAGAGTATTTAAAATAGGTATTAAATATTGACATTGCTGATATATATCAAAATTAAATATATTTCCATTTGCATTGTGGTTTTACTTGTGTTCACGCTTTGATCCGTTCTCTTTGTTCATTTATGTTCTGCAAGTCTTGGCATATAAAGTGAACTTTTCTGGCTCATTGTTGGTCGGAAGGTGTTGCCGTACATGTTAAGTCCATTTATGCATATCTTTTTAGTTTATTGTTCTATTTTGTTCCAGGCCTCTTGGTTTTTTGAGTCTTATTTGCATTCAAGCAGAAGGTCTTGTCAGTCTTGATACTTTTTTTTTTGGCTGTAATTAGATTTTTTTTTTTTTTTTTTTTTTGCGTGGTCGTTCATGCTACTAATTAAATGCGACCGCAATCAGATTTCTGTGTGAATGGTTTCCTTCCTAAAACCATTCAAGAGTCCTAGGATGAAAAGTTTTAGTTTTCCAAATAAACTGTTGGTTTGAGTCTTTAATTCCTGTCTGCACGTCGGTTAACAGGCAAAACAGAAAGTAAACAGTGACTCAGCACTACGAATATGACTCGGCAGATTCTGCAACAACAGGTTAATTTTGCATTTCGGGCTGCAGCTTCTTTAAATTCTGCTTTAAATGTTGTACTTTTGCATATAGTAATCATCAAAAAGTGGGGAAAAAAGCAAACTAATGTGTTTTTATTGCATTTTTTTAATCACTGGGGTCATTAAAGTGTTTCCAAAGAAAACGATTTGGCAGGGTGTCGCAGTCTGAATTAACAAGCAGATGTTTTGCTGAGTTCAGCCAGAACTTTGTGTGAAAACAACCACAGAGAGCAGAGAGCATCCAGGGAACATGGCGGCCTGCCTGGATCCACCAGGAGCTCATGTTTTTATTAGCATGCTAACACTAAATGTTGTAGGAAGAAACAATTCCTAAGAAAAACTAACTGGGACTTTCTTAGACTTGCAGTACTTTTATAAAATGTTTTAATTATTACATAATTATTACATTATTACATGTTATAAGACAGATGATCTGTGAAAAGATCAATATCCTCCAATTTCTCATTGAGGTTCTGAAGAACATTTATCTATTTCTTCATCAATATAAGCAATTATTTACGTAAAATAAGTATTGCTGAAAAGTTACTTCTAAGTTAGTTTTGTCTTATTTCAAGTGAACCAAGATATTTTCACTAGAAACTAGACCAAAATTACTTGGTAAGATTTTATAGTGTAATGAATGAAACTGACAGCAGAATGCAAGCAGACAATTTACAGGAAAGGTGAACAACATACTGAGTGTTTTTGCAAACCTACTGAAGGCGAGGAACGGTTTGAAAGAGCTTCCAGTGGATGAAACGTGATGAACTCGGGATGCGGCCTGAACCAGGGAAGGAAAACAGTTCGACTCACGTTGTATTCGGGCTGGACTTCGGCGCTGGACGTGGTGCTGCTGCTCTGGGCCGAGTCTTTGGAGTCTTGCTCCATCAGCTCCAAACATGGCGCCTTTGGCGTCTCCCTGGCTACGACGGCGGTGGCTCTGCGAGGCCCAGCGACGTACTGATGCAGAAAAACACAAGAGATCAGATGAAAAACTACCATCAGGTTACAGCCTTTTATTTATAAATGTACGTAAAATATATTTATTTTATTTAATAAATTATTATCATACTACATTACTTATTTATAAATTATTTATATGCATATACACATATATATTATAAATGAAATAGTAATACTGTTATCCCTATTTCTGCCAGTTTAACTGTATTTATTCTAATGAAAAGGAGAAATTCAAAGTTGGAAGCTAAATAATAAAGATGAATAAAGATGAATAAAGATTAATAAAGATTAATAAAGATGAATAAAGATGAATAAAGATAAATAAAGATGAATAAAGATTAATAAAGATGAATAAAGATGAATAAAGATGAATAAAGATTAATAAAGATTAATAAAGATGAATAAAGATTAATAAAGATGAATAAAGATGAATAAAGATTAATAAAGATGAATAAAGATGAATAAAGATTAATAAAGATGAATAAAGATTAATAAAGATGAATAAAGATTAATAAAGATGAATAAAGATTAATAAAGATGAATAAAGATGAATAAAGATGAATAAAGATGAATAAAGATTAATAAATATGAATAAAGATGAATAAAGATTAATAAAGATGAATAAAGATGAATAAAGATGAATAAAGATGAATAAAGATTAATAAAGATGAATAAAGATGAATAAAGATGAATAAAGATTAATAAAGATGAATAAAGATTAATAAAGATGAATAAAGATTAATAAAGATTAATAAAGATGAATAAAGATTAATAAAGATGAATAAAGATGAATAAAGATTAATAAGATGAATAAAGATTAATAAAGATGAATAAAGATTAATAAAGATGAATAAAGATTAATAAAGATGAATAAAGATGAATAAAGATTAATAAAGATGAATAAAGATGAATAAAGATGAATAAAGATGAATAAAGATTAATAAAGATGAATAAAGATGAATAAAGATGAATAAAGATTAATAAAGATGAATAAAGATTAATAAAGATGAATAAAGATGAATAAAGATGAATAAAGATTAATAAAGATGAATAAAGATGAATAAAGATTAATAAAGATGAATAAAGATGAATAAAGATGAATAAAGATGAATAAAGATTAATAAAGATTAATAAAGATGAATAAAGATGAATAAAGATTAATAAAGATGAATAAAGATGAATAAAGATTAATAAAGATTAATAAAGATGAATAAAGATTAATAAAGATGAATAAAGATTAATAAAGATTAATAAAGATTAATAAAGATTAATAAAGATGAATAAAGATTAATAAAGATTAATAAAGATGAATAAAGATTAATAAAGATGAATAAAGATGAATAAAGATGAATAAAGATTAATAAAGATGAATAAAGATGAATAAAGATGAATAAAGATTAATAAAGATTAATAAAGATGAATAAGATTAATAAAGATTAATAAAGATTAATAAAGATGAATAAAGATTATTAAAGATTAATAAAGATGAATAAAGATTAATAAAGATGAATAAAGATGAATAAAGATTAATAAGATTAATAAAGATTAATAAAGATGAATAAAGATTAATAAAGATGAATAAATATTAATAAAGATGAATAAAGATTAATAAAGATGAATAAAGATTAATAAAGATGAATAAAGATGAATAAAGATTAATAAAGATGAATAAAGATGAATAAAGATTAATAAAGATTAATAAAGATGAATAAAGATGAATAAATATTAATAAAGATGAATAATATTAATAAAGATGAATAAAGATTAATAAAGATGAATAAAGATGAATAAAGATGAATAAAGATGAATAAAGATTAATAAAGATGAATAAAGATGAATAAAGATGAATAAAGATGAATAAAGATGAATAAAGATGAATAAAGATTAATAAAGATGAATAAAGATGAATAAAGATGAATAAAGATTAATAAAGATTAATAAAGATTAATAAAGATAAATAAAAATTAATAAAGATGAATAAAAATTAATAAAGATGAATAAAGATTAATAAAGATGAATAAAGATGAATAAAGATGAATAAAGATGAATAAAGATGAATAAAGATTAATAAAGATGAATAATATTAATAAAGATTAATAAAGATGAATAAAGATTAATAAAGATGAATAAAGATGAATAAATATTAATAAAGATGAATAAATATTAATAAAGATTAATAAAGATGAATAAAGATGAATAAATATTAATAAAGATGAATAAATATTAATAAAGATAATAAAGATTAATAAAGATGAATAAAGATGAATAAAGATGAATAAAGATTAATAAAGATTAATAAAGATTAATAAAGATTAATAAAGATGAATAAAGATGAATAAAGATTAATAAAGATGAATAAAGATTAATAAAGATGAATAAAGATGAATAAAGATGAATAAATATTAATAAAGATAAATAAAGATTAATAAAGATGAATAAAAATTAATAAAAATAAATAAAGATAAATAAAGATAAATAAAGATAAATAAAGATTAATAAAGATGAATAAAGATGAATAAAGATGAATAAATATTAATAAAGATTAATAAAGATGAATAAAGATGAATAAATATTAATAAAGATTAATAAAGATTAATAAAGATGAATAAAGATGAATAAAGATGAATAAAGATTAATAAAGATGAATAAAGATGAATAAAGATGAATAAAGATGAATAAATATTAATAAAGATGAATAAAGATTAATAAAGATGAATAAATATTAATAAATATTAATAAAGATAAATAAAGATAAATAAAGATAAATAAAGATTAATAAAGATGAATAAATATTAATAAAGATGAATAAAGATTAATAAAGATGAATAAATATTAATAAAGATGAATAAATATTAATAAAGATGAATAAAGATTAATAAAGATTAATAAAGATGAATAAAGATTAATAAAGATTAATAAAGATGAATAAATATTAATAAAGATGAATAAATATTAATAAAGATGAATAAATATTAATAAAGATGAATAAAGATTAATAAAGATGAATAAAGATGAATAAAGATGAATAAAGATGAATAAAGATGAATAAATATTAATAAAGATGAATAAATATTAATAAAGATGAATAAATATTAATAAAGATTAAAAGATGAATAAAGATGAATAAAGATGAATAAAGATGAATAAAGATGAATAAAGATTAATAAAGATGAATAAAGATGAATAAAGATGAATAAATATTAATAAAGATGAATAAAGATTAATAAAGATGAATAAATATTAATAAATATTAATAAAGATAAATAAAGATAAATAAAGATAAATAAAGATTAATAAAGATGAATAAAGATGAATAAATATTAATAAAGATGAATAAAGATTAATAAAGATGAATAAAGATTAATAAAGATAAATAAAAATTAATAAAGATAAATAAAGATAAATAAAGATTAATAAAGATTAATAAAGATGAATAAAGATGAATAAAGATTAATAAAGATGAATAAAGATTAATAAAGATGAATAAAGATGAATAAAGATTAATAAAGATGAATAAAGATGAATAAAGATGAATAAAGATTAATAAAGATTAATAAATATTAATAAAGATGAATAAATATTAATAAAGATGAATAAATATTAATAAAGATGAATAAAGATTAATAAAGATGAATAAAGATGAATAAGATGAATAAATATTAATAAAGATGAATAAATATTAATAAAGAATAAATATTAATAAAGATTAATAAAGATAAATAAAGATAAATAAAGATTAATAAAGATGAATAAAGATTAATAAAGATGAATAAAGATTAATAAAGATGAATAAAGATTAATAAAGATTAATAAAGATTAATAAAGATGAATAAATATTAATAAAGATGAATAAATATTAATAAAGATAAATAAAGATAAATAAAGATAAATAAAGATTAATAAAGATGAATAAAGATGAATAAAGATTAATAAAGATGAATAAAGATTAATAAAGATGAATAAAGATGAATAAATATTAATAAAGATGAATAAATATTAATAAAGATGAATAAATATTAATAAAGATGAATAAATATTAATAAAGATGAATAAATATTAATAAAGATTAATAAAGATAAATAAGATAAATAAAGATTAATAAAGATGAATAAAGATTAAAAGATAAATAAAGATTAATAAAGATGAATAAAGATTAATAAAGATGAATAAAGATTAATAAAGATAAATAAAAATAAATAAAGATTAATAAAGATAAATAAAGATAAATAAAGATTAATAAAGATGAATAAAGATTAATAAAGATAAATAAAGATTAATAAAGATGAATAAAGATTAATAAAGATGAATAAAGATTAATAAAGATTAATAAAGATGAATAAGATGAATAAAGATTAATAAAGATTAATAAGATTAATAAAGATGAATAAAGATTAATAAAGATGAATAAAGATTAATAAAGATGAATAAAGATTAATAAAGATGAATAAAGATTAATAAAGATGAATAAATATTAATAAAGATTAATAAAGATGAAAGATGAATAAATATTAATAAAGATTAATAAAGATGAATAAATATTAATAAAGATTAATAAAGATTAGTAGATTAAAAACAGTCCAGAAGCTTCTGAACCCCGGTTACCAACGGCAACAGAAAAAGGGGGAGGAGCTGCCAGTCACTGGTTGCTACGGCAACCACCAACTGTCAAAAGCAGCAGAGCAGAAGTTGATACATTATGTGTAGCGAGTATTTTTGGTCTAATCTCCAGTAAAATTTCATTTTTGCACTTGAAAAAATACAAAACTAACCAACAAGTAAAATTAAAGTAAAATGCAGAACCTTGTTTAAGTCTGTGATTCTTGAACACTAAGCTGTCAAAACTAAGCTATTGGAGCTAAGCTATTGGAGCTAAGCTATTGGAACTAAGCTATTGGAGCTAAGCTATCAGAGCTAAGCTATTGGAGCTAAGCTATGGGAGCTAAGCTGTAGAAACTAAGCTATTGGAACTAAGCTATGGGAGCTAAGCTATTGGAGCTAAGCTATTGGAGCTAAGCTATGGGAGCTAAGCTATTGGAGCTAAGCTATGGGAGCTAAGCTGTCAAAACTAAGCTATTGGAGCTAAGCTATCAGAGCTAAGCTATTGGAGCTAAGCTATTGGAGCTAAGCTATTGGAGATGAATGTCCTCAGTATCAGAGGTGAGAAGTCCTGATATCACATTTTCTCTCATTTCATAATCTAATGTGGTAAACATTCATGAAATGTTTGATTGAAGCACTTCAAATTGCACGTAAACAGGTGATGAAATGAATAACATTTTCAGTAAAAATTTGATATTTATGTGATTAAAGTAAACAATCGGACATTTAGCAGTAAACATTTAATGTAATAATTAAATCAGATGAAAGAGCATCTTTAAACATTTTATGTGTAATTAAACAGTTCAGAGTGATCAATAGAGGTAAATGTTATGAAATAGATCATCACACCTTAAGTAAATATTTGTTGTATTTAACATATTTCAGATATGAAGTGAATATGTAATAAAATAAATCCTGTCCTTGAATTTTATGTAACTGAACATTACAGGTAACAAATGTGATGATCATCTGAGGTAATACGTTTTATGAATTTAAAAAAATATATTTTTTTTTAAAATATAAAATTAGTTAAAAAATGAAGAAGGGGTCAAAATGTAATAAATATGAGTGAGTTTCATCTACTCAGTAGAACAATTTGACACTGATTTTAACTTAATGTGGCCATAATTTGGCAGCTTTTAACAAAAACATAATTTAATGTTAATATTTTAATAGAGGACAGTGTGCCTAGTGGAATACATGGATTACCGCCTTTTGTATCAGTCGGTCATAAGGCTTTATTTACAGCAGTTTGATTGGGAACCAGAATCAGCGTCCATGAATCAGATCGACCTTGAGCTAATCGCCCCTGACTCCACGGAGCGCGGATATCCAATATCCAACCTGAAAACAACTTCACTGCGGTGCGAAACACAATGAAAACACCTGGAATAAAATGTGTTGTGGTCTGTGGCCTTTAAAGATGGCGCCAAACGACGTTGGTTCCAAAGCTCTTTAATCTGCTACTGGAACTAAAATATTTTCATCAATATTAAGGAATTGCTAACATAAAACAAGCTCCTGTATCTTGCTAAAAAGGTTACTTGTAAGTTAGTTTGGCCTTATTTTAAGTGAACTAATTTATTTGTACTGAAACTGGGCCAAAACTACTTGGTACGTTGTTATGTTTTTGCAGTATAAAGATGTTTTTTTTAACCCAGTTTTCCACATCGGGCCGAAACGATGTGCCGATAGCGATGCTAATATGGGATCGTCCCTGGCTTTTACCATGACGGTGCTTTGCTCCTGTTTGCGGTTCTGCCTGTGGTGCTTGGTCTGCGGGTTCGCCGCCAGGCCGGCCTGGTAGATGGTTCTTGGTCTGGGTCTCTGCCTCAAGCCCAACTGAGACGTTCCTGACGGCTTCTTCTGGAAAAACAGACAAACAAACAATCAATAAAGCTTCCTCCATCTGTTGGCACAAACAAAACGAGGCCTCCATGTGCTCGTAGCGTTACGTGGCTGTAGGAGTCCCAGTCTGGTTCCTCCTCCTCGGGCCTCTTCCTGCTCCTCTTCCTGCTTCCTCTCGTATGCTGGTTACCATCTGGCGAAGGATGTGGGAGCAGAAAGAGAGACGGGGGAGACGGAGATAGCAGCAGAAGGTCAAACAGATGGCGCAACAAAAAGAAATACCTTCAAGACTCTTCCCTTCATCTTGGATCTAAACTGCTATATTCAACATTTTCTGTACTGAAGACTAGAAATGTCTCAATAAGAAATAAACCAATTAATCAGATAATAAATTAAAGAAACTCAGTAATTTACATTTGCATGATTTTTCTCTTTCTACCAGAAACTGGATGATAATTCAGTCTGGTATCAACTAGACCTTATTCTGAAGGATCATTTTTGTTCACAGTCTTCAGAATTAATTGGATTTATTTGGGATATTTAAAATGTCTTCCAGTTCCAGGGTTAAATGTTCATTAGATTTTAAAGTTTATACATCTTTGAGAATGAGTTCTTGCAAACTCTAACCACATATTTCTATCCACTTTTTAGTGCAAATATGTTAATATACTTGAAATAAGACAAAGACAATTGTTTCAGCGAGAAACAGGAGCTTATTTTAAGTGAATAATTCCTAAATATTGATTAAAAAAATACTGGTTCCATCATTTTTTTCATGTTATGAGTGAAATAATCTTCCAGTAGAAATATCATTTTCTTCAGTATTTAGGTAATATTAGCATATTAGCTAAACTAATTTCAGCAGTTCTGCAGAAAATAAAACTGGAGCTCCAGTTGACGTCAACATTCCAGGTTTGGTCAGAGGGTTGAAACTTGGACACATTTGGAGAAATGATCCAAAAATGAGTCCAAACTGGTTTTGAAATGGATAAAACTAGCAAACAGTGTACTTCTGGAATTACCTTTCCAAAGTCCAAACCTCAAAATGATCAGATCTCTGGAATGAAAATTAAAGTGGCATTTTAACCAGGAAGCTAAACAATTGAAATAATATATTCCAATAATCAAAATTGGCCAAGAGACAGTGGATCACTTGAAAAATAACTGGTTTCCCTGCAAAGTGTTAACATTGGGGTTTTATGTTTATAAGTATTTAAATTCATACGCCTAATTTTGACCAGAAAATCCACAACAAATCAAAATTTATTTGTTTTATAATTATGTCACTTTGGAGAAATAATGGTAGAAATGAAGCATTAAAAGCCTCAGATTAATGGTCACAATGGGCGGATGTCATTTTTAATTTTTACAGTAACTGCATGTTGAAACGTATTTAACTCTGACTTTTCCTCCGCAGAGCAGAATCGCCTGGCTTCCCTAATCCTCAGTTTAATACCTCTTGTGTTTTATTTCATTACTTTCTGCTTTTACTGCATTGCCATAAAACCCAAAGTGGCTCCAGATGTCCACATTTTAAACACTTGGTGTGATTTTTACACTTCCATTCACGTTGGCATGACAGTGAAGTTGTTTTGGTGACAAACCATCAATTTTTAACACATTAATAATCTCTGCTATCTCTGCTACCCAGAGATAGCAGCACATCTCTTCTGTTGGTTCAGTTTATAACCGTTGATTGAGAGTTTTGAGGTAAAGCTGTGGATGTACCTTGCGGCGAAGCGGCGCCCCCGCTCTGTTTGGGGCAGAAGGGCGAGGGCGGCTCCACTGCAGTCAGCGGGCTGTTATCATTGGTCAACTCGACGCCACTGTCGTTCTCTGATAGGCCCTCGGCAATAAGGGGCGTATCTCCATTCACTGCTGCCTGGGGACGAAATAGTCTGATCAGATCATTTACGAGGTGAATGTTGCAGTGACCCCGCCCTCAGAGGGCGCTAGGGAGCGTGGCTCGGCCGACTGTCAACGTGATTTTCAAATCAACAATGGAATAAAATTACCTCAGATGATATAAAAATTCATCAAACGCAGCTGTTAGAGACAAACCACCTATAAAAATATTTATTGAATACATTTTGTTATAGTGAAAATATATTTCTGTAATAGAAACCAAATCTGCACTGAGAACAATAAGCTTGCAAAACCAATGGCTTGCACTGGTTTTAGCTGTCAAGTTTGTCCAACTTAACGCGCTAAATCTTAAATGTATGCATGATAATAAAAGAAAAGGGACGCAGTGCTTTGCTACCAATTGTCAACACTATATCAAATAAATAACAAAATTAGGTAAAAGTTTTAATTACACAAAAAATAGCGAGGGAGAGGAAGGTAGGTCAGTTATGCTAGCTTGACTATGACAATCGTAACATGTACATGTGCTGTGGAATTCTGTTTTGGTCATAAAAAAAAAAAAGGGCGACCTAAACACCAACTCTCTGACAGATCATCAGTAGAGCAGGTGTTCAAATTAATTAATCAGCCATGCTTGTGTTAGATTAGCTAAGAGCAGCTACAGCTAATCTAATCAGCTCAGCAGCGACCTCTTATCAGTAAACACAAAATAAACATCAAGCCTGAAAACAAGAAACTTGAACAAACTGAATGTTCTGTTCTTTGTTTTGGTCAGACAATAAATGCATTTCATCATATTACCAAGTAAGTTTAGTTAGTTTCTAGTGTAAATATCTTAGCACACCCTGAAATAAGACAAAACTAATGCAGAAGTAACTAATCAGCAAGATGTAGGAGCTTATTTTCTGTCAATACATCCCTTATATTGATAAAAAAAAATTGTTTCACTTGTAACGTGGAAAAATATACATAAGTGAAATAATCTGCTAATGAAACAAGTATGTTTTTAATCAATTCTTTACTTAGAACAAGTATAATAAGGTATTTGCACTAGAAACACTAAAAATACTTGGTGATATTTTGTGTTTTTGCAGTGTAGAAATATAAAAGATGTCTCTACAAGATAGATGCCACAGTTTGATAAAAAATGAAGCAAAAACGCCATAAAATCTCACCAAACGCACAGAATAATCAAGCTCAGTTTTGACACGTATTTGAAATTTTCTCCTACATGTGATCCATAAAAACTGTCACAAAACAGACACCAGCTTCAGTTTTACAGTTCTGCTCGAACGTTGCGGTGCAGCGTTTTGATTCCTGACATTTTGACATTTAGATAAAATGATAACAGCTAAAAGGCGCTAAAAGACGCCGACTCTGTCTGACTCAACACAAACAGTCAATGCTGAAGTTACGGCAGCTGCCTCAGAGAGCAAACTGTTTGTTTAAACTGCCTGTCTATACAGAGGAGCGTTGGGAAATAGTTGTGGAAGTAGTCATCAAAGCCGTCAATCCTCTATTCTTTTAAAGGAGGGTTACGCATTTCTGTCCGTAAAACCTGAAACTCCATAACCCCAATCCAGGCATTAGTTTTTTCTGGTATGCTATAGAAAAACTAACTTATCGTGGCTTTTAAATGCTGATGGGAAACCATCAGGAACATCTTCCACAGGATTTAACTAAAGTAGCAAGCAGAAACTACAAATCAAATTAAATTGATCAGCACTTGTGGTTTTGGCAGCCAGGATTGTGAGGGTTTCTCCGTCTGACCTGGCAAATTTAAAGAGATTCATGATTAGCTATAAAAATAAACTTTATTTGGGAAACATTTATTTGAAAGGAACGGGTTGTTTAGTTTTTATTACTGTAAGATATTGTCACCATGTTGCAATGGATTATTGCGAATTGAGTAACATTTAGTACTTTAGAACATTAAATTAGAAGGTAATGCCTCTTCATTTCCATGATGAGGGCAAATGAAGATGAGGAAGACCATGAGGAAGAGAGGAAGATATGCTTGGATATGCTAACTGGAAAGGAGAGTGTTAGCTCCTGCTAACGGTGTCATCTCCTGCTAATGCTAATGATGTTAGCTCCTGCTAAAGGTGTCATCTCCTCCTAACGCTAATGGTGTTAGTTCCTGATAACGCTAATGGTGTTAGCTCCTGCTAATGCTAATGGCACTAGCTCCAGCTGAAGGTGTTGGCTTATTCTAACAGTGTCGGCACTGACACCTAGTTGTACTTTTATGTTGTTATAATTACACAAATGTCATTTTTTCCAGATTGTTACTAACCCTAACCCACTATTGTAAACATTTTAGAAATACCATCATTGTTTTAAGCGTGTGACTTTGACACAAGGAGTCCCACCTTCTTCTTCTGTGGTATTGTTAAACTGTTTGAGCTCCTTAGATCCTCATCTTTTGTAATGTTGTCCTGTGGAAGAGATGGATGTTGTTTTCCTCTGAATGCATCCAGTTTTATTTAGAAACAAAGTTAGATTTTGTTATAATCTCCATCATAATAATAGATATTTATTTATGTGAACTTGTGATTGTAAAGTAGCAGGAATTAACGTAAAGTAGCAGGAATTAAGTAGCATAGCTGTGTTGTTTTGTTTAAGACTTGAAGCAGAAAGCAGGTAACTTGGTTGTATTCTGCTTGATGTTCTTGTCAGAATAAATAATAAAATCTAATAATAATAATAAGAATAATAGTAACAATGACAATTGTTTATAACAACCACACATATAGCATCATAATAATTACCAATGTACACTATATAAATTCTTTATAATCTGTTAAATAACAATAAATAAAATAAGTAAAAACTAATGATAATAATAATAGTAGGATAGCAATCATAACCTACTAATAATGGTCATAAAGCATCATAAATATCTCTGCAGAGATACCTGCAGCCACTTTAGCATCAGACCGCAGCCTGGGCCCCAGAGTTATACGGGGATTCTCAGTAAAAATGTACAGAGAATCTCAAAATGCTGCACAGACTTGCAGGACATGAAGTTACCAAAGCAGGTCACCCAAAGTTTACTTCAGATGTCATGTAGCCGCGGAAAAACCAAGTGCAAAAGCCGGATCCGAATGCACAGCAGAAAATGCAAATTTCTCTTCGATTTCCTATGAAAAAGCTGTTAAATTATGGATAAGTTCTTATTAATAACATCATTATGAATAATCTCCACACCCATTCCTGACTGGTTCCAGGCCAAAGAGATCACTTAAAACCTGTCTGGCAACATGAAGCCAACCTGAAGCAAAGAGAACACATTGTGCCTCAATCTGAAGCAGAACATCTATCAGTCAGGGAACGGTCACAAGTCGTCATCCAGAAACCGTTTGCTCACCACCATTACTCAGCCACAACTCATCCAGGACGTTTCTCTGGAAGCCTCACTGACTCAGTGAAGGTCAGAGGTCACGAGCCAACAAGCACAAACTACAGCTGTGTCCGAGTTCAGGGTCTGTGTCTGAGTTCAGGGTCTGTGTCTGAGTTCAGGGTCTGTGTCTGAGTTCAGGGTCTGTGTCTGAGTTCAGGGTCTGTGTCTGAGTTCAGGGTCTGTGTCTGAGTTCAGGGTCTGTGTCCGAGTTCAGGGTCTGTGTCTGAGTTCAGGGTCTGTGTCTGAGTTCAGGGTCTGTGTCTGAGTTCAGGGTCTGTGTCTGAGTTCAGGGTCTGTGTCTGAGTTCAGGGTCTGTGTCCGAGTTCAGGGTCTGTGTCTGAGTTCAGGGTCTGTGTCTGAGTTTCAGGGTCTGTGTCTGAGTTCAGGGTCTGTGTCTGAGTTCAGGTCTGTGTCTGAGTTCAGGGTCTGTGTCTGAGTTCAGGGTCTGTGTCTGAGTTCAGGGTCTGTGTCTGAGTTCAGGGTCTGTGTCCGAGTTCAGGGTCTGTGTCTGAGTTCAGGGTCTGTGTCCTTCGGAGGCCGATTCCGTCACAGCGTGGCGACAAGGCCTTTCCCGCAATGGAAGGAGAGCCGCAAATTATTTTGTTCAGTTCCACTTTAAATGACTCAACGTGATTTAGTACAATGTTTTCAGAATGTAAGTGTCTCAAATTTCTGCTCGGTTCACCAAAACGTGACCTGCTCTGACATTTCTGTGGAATCAACTCACTCTCTCGCTCTGTGGTTGCCTAGCAACGACCTGCCAGGTGACTAACACAGCAGCAGTTTTAAGTTTCAGAACCTTAAGCATTGCTTCAGAACCGAAATAAAAATAAAAACCAACATGCAGAGAAAACTGGATAAAACAGTTTTGGCTGTATTTCAGATATTTGAAATCTAATCAATAATTACTGATATTGACTGATTCTGCATTAAAGCGAGGGCCCCATTATCAGTTCGCACTCAGTGGTGACCAAACCAGTTATCAGGTGTTTCTTCATACAATTTGTCTGATTTTAAAACTTGTTTGATAATCTGAAACATGTGATTGTGACAAAAATAAGCAAAAATAGAAGAACCTATTTTGAACTTCTTCACTGCCTTGGACCAACAAAACCATTAAGATCTGTAAAGATCTGATGACTTTGTGTTTTTGTGCTTATGATGTAAAGCACTTTGAAATGCCTTGCTGCTGAAATGTGCTATAGAAATAAAATTTGATTGGTTGATTGATTGATTAAACTCCTGTAGCCGAGGTCAAGAGACTAAACTTTCTATTTTTCCACTTATTTCCAACAGTTCCCTACATATTCCTCAGAATGTGCACCTTTTCTTCCCACCGCCCACCAAGCCATTAAAGTTTTTCCACTTTGGCTGAAAGGCGTCAATCATTAAAGCAGGCGCCTGGGGGAAGGTGAGAAAAGCATTCCCACCACTGACAGATGAGCAGGTTTGCAGTTGAACGGGGGCAAGCCGCAGACGAAAACCTGAAAAGAGTTTCAGGTTTTCACCTTCGCTGTGACTCAGTATGTTCAGAGATTTCTCCAGGGTGTTTCTGTCTGTCTTCGTCTCGAACTATAAACTTCAAATGACGTTAATCTAAGACGCAGACAATCTAGCAGGGCAAATCTCTGCACAGGTGTTCAGTCAGATTACAGGTCAAAGGAGTTAGGAGAGGAAAGCAGGTGGAAAAGCTTCTCCTAAAGCTGCAGGTATTATACACTTTATTTAAAATTAACTACTGCAATAATAACACCATAATTAGTTGAAGCTAATGCTAAAGCAATAAACTGAACCATTTTGAGTTGTGGGCACCACTAGCCAAAAAACTTTAGTGGTGCTAGCCTTGAAGCTCTAATCATAATCATTAGTTCTGCTAATGCTAATGCTCTACAGCAACACACCATTTAGTAGAAGCTCTTTCTAAAGTGGTATGTTTAATCATTTTGAGGAGGGGACACTGCTAACTGAAAGGTTAGCTGCACTAACCCAATAGAGCTAATTATAAATGCTAACACTAAAACACTATGCAAAACTAGGCATCAATGCCAACATGCTATTTTAACCATTTGAAGTAAGGGGCACCGCTAACTAAAATGCTAACTCCACTAGCCTAACAGATCTAATTATAAACTGTAGTTTCGCTAACACTACAACACTATACACACAAGGTATTTAGCCAAAGCTAATGCTAAAGCGCTAAATTAAATGTTAATATTATAATGGCTCATGGTCTTTTGATCTGATTTGGTTAATATGTTTAACGTGAAGTGGTCCTGAGACCACTCCAAAAGCAGGAAGTGGACTATAGCGCAGGGCATTCTGGGTAAATAGAAACATAGCAAATATGCTACCCTAGCATTAGCATGAGAGATGACTTGTCATCTTTTACCAAAGACATAGAGAAATCCTGCAACTGCTAAAATCTGCTAAAATCCTACAACTGCAAAATTCTGCTCCATTTTGTTTAGATTTTGCAAAGGAAAATATGCCTTTTTCAGGGGTTTTATGTTGTTTCCTTCAGCAGGTCTCGGTGCAGTGCCTCTACAGGTGAGGAGGGGAACAGGTCGCCCAAAGAGTCCTTAATAGAACAGAATATGCAGGCCTAGATCGAAATCTACATGCAAAACTTCAACATTAAATGTCCATGTGGCATGTTTGCTTCACTTCTGTATCTCAAACAAAATGAGAAGCACCACAAGGTTTAAGAAACTGGTAAACTCAAACTGACTCCTGGTAACAATGGAATTAAAGGAGAAATGTCTATCTTTGGCGAACATTTACATTTTCAGGAAACAGTCGTATAGCTGTGAAACTGGTCCTCGAGCCTCTGGGCGGTCATAAATCACCAATCCAGCTGTCAGGTCATGAGGAAACCTTAAGCTTCAGGAAAATGAAGCCAGAACGCTGGAACATGACTTGTAATGGCTCCTTAAAAGGGTCACACATATAATTACTGCTAGACAAACACATCTCTGGAGTTCAACATCTGCTTCCTTATGTTCTCAATGAAAAAGCTACCGTTGGCTGAAAGTGAAGCATTTCTTCCTCTTTAGCGTCCACTGTCTCTAAATGTCAAATAATTTGTGTGGGTGATGTACATTTCAGGCCTGAAATTGCCTTTTTGTGCATTTTAAACTAACTTACCAGATATAATAATATCTTCCCATAAATTCTAACGCAGTGGTTTACTTGAGTGTTTTGTAAACTTTCAGTGGAATAAAGTTTTGGTTGATTGTTCAAATAGTTAGGAGTTTATATTCATGTTGTTATTTTGTTAAATATTAAAATATAATTTGGCTTTAGCTTCTACTAGATACCTTGTTGGCGTAGCGTTTTAGCGTTAGTGGAACTAATATGATTAGAGCTTTGTGATTAGCACAGCTAAGCTTTTAGCTAGCAGTGTCCCCTAAACAAAATGGTTAAACTTAGCACTTTAGCATTAGCAGAGCTAATGATAATGATTAGAGCTGTAGGGTCAGAATAGCTAACTTTTTAGCTAGCGATAGCCACAACTCAAAATGGATAAATGTACTGCTTTTGCATGTTCTTCTACTAAATATTGTGATGGGGTCGTGATTTAGCATTAGCCGGGATAATGATTACATTTAGAGCTTTAGCACAGCAGTGCAACTTAAAATAGTAAAATATAGCACTTTAACATTAACTTATACTAAATACTGAGTTGTTGTAGCGCATTAGCATTAGCTGAATAATGTTTATGATTAGAACATTAAGCTAGCAGTGCTAATCACTGGCAGCAACATTGGCTGATTTCCTACAAATGCTGGTTGATGAATGGGGTTCCATCCCACATCAGTGTGTGACCCTGCTGGTGACTGTATGCATGGTTCTTTCTCACACTGATTGTTAAATTGTTCCATTATTTCATAATATACAGTCCAACAAACACCATAAACCAAGGAGTGAATTACAAAACAAGCTATTTGTGCTTGGCGAGTTTTTCATGGGTGCAACCTGCACACTGAGCTCTGCTGCTCACGTTTCTTTACAAATGTTCTTCTGTTTAAAGAGAAAAAAACCTTTCCAGCGGCGCAAGATTTATTCCCAAATAGCACAAAAACACAAATCTTGCTTTTCACGCTAAGTCTCATTTTTAGCAGAATCTGCAGAAGAGAAAACGATGAACAGAAAAAGCGACAGATGGTTGAGGGAAGGAAGTCTGCTTTCAGATAGAGTGAGAGACGAGTGAAAAAGAGGAAGAAGTGGCAACGGACGAGGGGAGCCCCGTTGAGCCTTTATGACTGAAAGAGCAAATGTATGAAACAGGTTCATGACAGATAATAAATCTACACAGACATTATAGCAAACGTCTTTGCAACGTATAGTATTCAAATATTTTCATTTTCAATTCATTAAATCCTTTTATTTGTCTTCCTGCTCCTCCATCGCTGCGTCTACTCAGCGCTTTCTTGCTGCTGCCTTGTGCGGATGCAGCTGTTTGTGTGCAGCGCAGGAAGACGCCCTCACAACCAGCATGCATTCTCAATTAGAGCCGTGTGATGAGGTGGCACCGCCGTCCAGGCATCTGCCTTGGCAGCCAGACAGTCGCTGCCTTACAGCACAGCTGGGTCGCTCAGAGGTGTGCAGAGCCAACGCTGAGCTCTTCCTCTCACTTATCTGCTGAACTCTGCTGAACTCTGCTGAAAGCTGAGTGGGACGGGCGTCCAAACTGCGGCGCGGGGGCCATTTGCAGCCCTCTGGAGGTTTTTTTTGGGCGGTCCAAATGAAGCAAACCTGACCTACAAGATTAGGTGGTTTTTGCATTTGGACACTTTTTCAACATGTTTCAGGACAGGAGTGTCCAAACTTTTGTCAGATGAGCCAAAATTGTTAAGTGAAAAGTTATGGGCCCAGAAAAATAATTTAAAAAACTAAAATTAAGCAAATAAAACATTTAATCACTGGGTCACAATAAGTCACAATTAATTACGATTAACCGTAATTAATTGTGATTTATTTACTTGATTTTTTTTTAATCAAGATTGATCATTATTAATTAGAAATGAATCATAATTAATCACGATTAGGGATCTTGATTAATACTTCGTGATTAAATGTTTTAATCAATACCACTGGTCTATGTGTCTCTGTGTGTGTCTCAGTGTGTGTGTGTGTCTCTGTGTGTGTCTCAGTGTGTGTGTGTCTCAGTGTGTGTGTGTGTCTCAGTGTGTGTGTGTGTCTCTGTGTGTGTCTCAGTGTGTGTGTGTCTCTGTGTGTGTGTCTGTGTGTGTCTCAGTGTGTGTGTGTGTCTGTGTGTGTGTCTCTGTGTGTCTCTGTGTGTCACAGTGTGTGTGTGTCTGTGTGTGTGTCTCAGTGTGTGTGTCTCTGTGTGTGTGTGTGTCTCTCTGTGTGTGTGTCTCTGTGTGTGTGTGTGTCTCTGTGTGTGTCTCAGTGTGTGTATCTGTGTGTGTGTCTTACTGTAGCAGTCACGTTGCTGCTCTCCGACAGGATCGCTCCAGAGTTGTTGGAAGGCATGGCTGTTGTTGCTGACGGGTCCAGTTGGTTTCCTGACTCCTTTTCAAACCTGAGGAGAAAACGATGAAGAGGAGGATTAATCCTGTCATACACTCAGACCTCAGGGACATTTAGGACACCAATTAGCCTAGCAGTTTCTGGACCCCTGTGTTCCTCTGCTTGACTTTCTAACTGTGCAGAGTCTTCAAGAGGAGTGGCAAAAGCAAAGGAGAAGGATCAGCAGAGCTTCTGCCTCCTGATCATGTTTTTAAATTCCCATTACTGTGGAATATCGTTTCTGATACTCCGCAGTTATTATCTCTTGACTGCTATGAGACAACAATGCACCAAGATTGTTTCAGTCAGAGGCCTCATCAGAACGTTGCAGAACTGACTGCTACTGTTAGCCACTAATTACTGATGAATAGTTTATTAGATTCAATTAGTTTCAGTCAGTTAACTGATACGGTTCCTTTGGCTCACAAGAGTCAAACTCCAGTCCTGGTGTCCTGCAGGATTTAGATGCACCACAGATAGAAAACCCATGTAGCGTGTAGCTAAATGCAGGTTATCTGCAACTAAATGGCAGATAATGTAAGAATAGGAGCATAAGGTAAATAGAGAAAGTGTGAGAGGAAGACTTCAGCTCTGGAGCCGACATGCCCATGCAGCCCTTCAGGTAAACAGATACAGTCTGGATGTGATCTGCAGCTCCGGCACCGCAAATGTGTCCCTACATGCTCAATAAACACAGCGCCGCTACTTCATGTAGCTGCATTCCTGTGAGCCTCCATGCTGGTGGACATGACTGATGGCTCTCAGGCGTCTGTGGCGCAGCGAATCCGAACCGGGTCGCACACGGGGTTCTGTTTCTGCGACGTGTCGCTGCAGGGAAGCGTGGAGGCGACCGGGTTTTAGCCGACACCCCGACCTGCCCCGAGTCACAGAAACCAGCCTGAGATTAGCGAGAGTGTGACGAGGATTTCTGAGGCTTAACCGCCAAAGTCATCCAGTTTACAAGGAAAAAAACTCGTTGTTCTGGGACTTCAGGCAGTATGTCAAATAAACTCAGAAACTTTTTTTTACAGTTTAAAGTAAACGATGTTCCTGTTAGCTAGCATGACGCTGAAAATGTATCAATGTATAATTGTTACGTATCAGTCGATATTGGTAATTATTTATTATTTTTTTGTTTTAAGGCTACCAAACTGGTTCTGTTTTACAATTTTCTCTGCAAGTCTTTATTTTTGAGCAGTTTTTGATTTAAACTGCCGCTGTGGCAGTTACTCGGCAGGTCGTTGGTAGGCGACCGGAGAGCGAGTGAGTTGGTTGTTTCCACTCACTTTGCTCAGTGAGCTGAGAAGTTGAGCGGCTAAAGTATTTCCCCTGCCTACATCACCCAGGATGCCGTGCGGTTCTGGATCGGATTTAAGTGAATATTCTAACAAAGTGACGATACTGAATAGTGAATATTCTATCAAACGTATTATCTATAGATATTGATCGCATGTTTATTTGAATCTAAGTTGTTATTGATAAATTGTGTCAAGCAGTCATCAAACAGGAATGAATACTTTTAGCACATGGTTACATATTTTGTGATGTTATTGTGCATCATTTTTCACCTTCCAAGCGATGGGTGTTTTCCACAAACGACTCGATTTGACTGGGAACCAACATGGCAACATTTGCGACATTTTCATTTTCTTTGTGTAACCTATTCTCCTCGTCGCCTGTGGGGGCGCTGCACCAAGAACCAATCAAAGAAAGACAAGAACGACTTCCTTCTTCACCAAATGCAAACAAAAACTGAGTCGTGTCAGATTTAAATGGTTGTAGGATTTTGTTTTTTGTTGTTAGCTAAAGATCTCAGCCCATTTCTCCCGCTAGCGCTAGGCTAATGCATTTATTTTGGTTATATTTACCCAGAATGCCCTGCACCTTAGTCCATTCCTGCTTTTGGAGTGGTTTCTGCTCCGCTTGGCGTTCACATATGGATTCAAACCACACCAGATTTCGCTCCAACTGAACCGAGACCTGCACTGTAAAAACACAAAATCTTACCAATTATTTCTAGCATAAATATCTTAGTACACTTAACACAAAACTAACTTATAACTATATTTTTAACAGAATAGAGATTATTTTAAGTAAATAATTTATTAATACTGATTTTTTTTTAAAAAAAAAAGCTCTGGTTCCACTGGAAAATTATTTCACTGAGATATTTTTCCCATAAGTGAAACAATCTGCCAGTGGAACCAGTCTTTCTTTTCCATTTTTTTTTATCATGATTATAGATTATAGATTTGAGTTCAGCATGAAGTAATGTTCCCACCGCATGATAGGTTTTTGGAAAAAATGTTACAGTTTTAGAGTGAAGTTATTTCCTGTGACCAAATAAACACCCAACCATGAATATGCTGTCTGCTTCACTGCAAAAACACAAAATCTTTCTCAGGATTTTTATTTGGTTTCCACTGCAAATATCTTTCCACACCTGGAGAAAGACAAAACAAACTTCCAAGTCAAATGTAAGACCTTGTTTTAGGTCAGTAATTACTGAATATTGATAAAAAGTTTTTTTAATGTCTTGTTTTGTAGCTTTTAGCTTTCTTTCAACATGAGCAGCTTAATCAGACGCAAGAAATTTATTTATAAAAACAGTTAAATATAAGAACCTATTATGTGTGCAGAAAGAGCCTCTTTCCCACAGCTGTTGTTGCCTTTAGCCAGACTTAGTCTGGGCTCCTTTTGCATGAATCTTTTTCTAATATATGCAGCATGAATCAGTCAAGTCCTGCTGGAAAATGAAATCAGCATCTTCAGGAAGCTTATCTGCAAACAGAAACATCTCGTTGCCATATTTGCTGGTAAATGGCTGAACTACGGTTGTGACGCTTCCCCAAACTCCTAAAAAGGCTGCACTTTACAGTTACCACTGTCACTAGCACACACTTCTTCCTTCCACTCAACTTTCCAACATTAACCTGGGACAAAAATTAAAGCTTAATTTTGGTTATTTAACCTGTTAAGAGAAAAATTGAGGTTCATTTTTCAAAACTATATTTTTACCATGTTATTCATTCATTTATAAATGTTACAGTTACAAACTAACTATCTAATTAGCAGGATAAGTATTTAGCTTCAATATAAATATTTAGCACAGACAAAAACATTTTGCTTTTTGCAAATTCATGTGCCAATAACTGGAAGACGACTACCTACATTTAATTTAATTTATTTCATTTTTATTTAACCAGGTGCTATATAAATAAAATTACCTTTACCTTTAGAAATATTTATTTTCTTAGGGGCTAAAACACTCACATTTTTGCTGTTAATTTTTGACTTTAATGTTATGAACGGGTCAGCATGAGGAGCCATCTTGTTTAGCTCACAGGAACAACACCGACTGTTCATAACAAGCAGATTAGCGAGGCGATGAGGCAAATTAAAACCTTATTCAGCTTCTTCATATCAGGCCAGATGTTTCAAATTACAAAGTTATAAACCAAGTTTGGTCCAGTTTTATCCACTTCCATTTTGATGTTATTCAGGTAAAAATGATGCATCCTGTCAGTCACATCAGCAGGAATTTGACACTTTCCACAAACCAGGAGAATAATTACCTCCCATTACTGAAACTTCCTAAGACCCACATTAACACCCTGATGGGACAAACTGTGAGAAAAACACAAATTCCTCACAGATAAAACCAGAAAATGTGCCTGGGCGGGTATTAATTAGCTGTTTTGTCTCTTTCTGTTCCAACTCAGTATTTCAGATCTTTATCATGACACCAAAAAGGAGACAGACTGGGAACATCCTGGAGCGCCGGGGAGTATCTGACACCAGGATGGAAATGATCCTCTGGGCCCCGTGGCCGGTTCATCACGACGCAGCAAAAACAATCCAAAAGGTTCAGGATTTACCCAAAAACAACCCGAAGGGAACAAAACCGCATTTAACGTAACAAAGTCGGATTATTTCTCACATAAAAACAAAATTTCTCTGGGAAAAGTCCAATCTTTTAACTACAACTGGTTCTGCTGTGAGATTATCTCACAATTTAATCCAGAATAATTTGATAAGCATTGGAGTTCATGCTGAGCTCGACCATCAACAGTTGGTCAACATTTACACTCATAAAGTCTCGTGTGGTTCATAACAAACATTTAAAATGTGGTATATTTTAAAAACTTCATGTTTTAAAGTCTCGGGCATTTTACCCACATAGCCAAGTTTTATAACAACAGATATCTTCACTATATTGTTGAAAAAAAAAATAGCGTCATACGCCCAGGAAAGTTTTTAGCATGAATCCTGTACTAAACATGCCAAACCCACAGAGGGCGGTGTAGCACAAAGCTAAGACCTGTAAGCCAATCAAATGCTTCAAAACAATCACAACTTCCTGTTAGGAATTCAACTGTTTTTTCTTTTTTATTCAGAATAAAAAGTTGAAAAGTACAAGACAATGATGATTAGAGGCCTAGTCAAAGTCAACGGGACTCTAAATCTCTGTTTTCCCCAAAATAATTATAAACAGAAAATTTGCTAGCATGTCTGCAGGTTTCCAAAGGAGATTCATTTCTTTGGGAGGCCAAGTCATGGAAAAGTTTGGGAAGCCTTGGACTAGGCCTTGGATGCTTATGCTGCGTTCAGGTTCAGCTGGCTGAAATGACAATCTCTCACACTTCGGTTACCTAGCAACAACCTGCTGAGTAACTGGCGCAGCAGCGGTTTAAGGTTTTGCCGTATAACTGCTTAGAAATAAAAACCACATAGAGAGAAAACTGGATAAAACAGAAAACGTCATTCCACCAATTTATCTGTATTTCAGATATTTAAAACAACAACTAATCAATAACTGATATGAAAGTCTTCTATTGTGACACATTTTTCAGTTTTGAGTCAGGAGTTTCATTGTTTTCCTACAGAGCTGAAACCGAACAAACATTTCCACTGCAAGGAGAAGCTGAAACGTTGTATCCTCAGCGCATAACTTCTCTGCATCTTTAGTGACAAAGAAAGAGGTTGAAATAAAGCAGCAGAGAAAGAGCGCAGGGCAGAGCGAGGGGCCAACCGCTCAGGGTCAGGGAGGACAAGGAGGCGGCGGCGCGGGGGATCACATCAAAGCCGCGCGGTGGCCAGAGATTAGGGTCCGCTTTGCTGGAGGGACCGGCCTCTCCCCGCACGGTGTGCATGTGTGCGTGAAGGGGAGCCGAGCCCCTCGGGTCTTTCTCTGGGCCCGCATTCCACGGCCCTCGTTACTTTATGGCCCCTTCCCGTCCAGAACCGGCCCCGCAGCCAAGCGCCGCAGGTCCCGTCCCGACACGACGGATACAAATACATCCACTCTGCCTCAAAACAAACAAAAAACATCTCTTTGAAAAACTAAAAACAAAAATGAGATTTTCTTTAATCTACTTAACAAAGCCTTTGATCTTTGGGAATGTGTTCTTGTTATTATTTTATTTAAAAATAGGCTCATTTTTAAATTTTAATTTAACGAATAGTCAGAATTATAATAGCATGATATTAAAGTGTTCTGCTGATTAAAAACTAAAACATATCTCATCTGTTCTCAGCAATAAAAACAGAATGTTTATTTTTAAAAACTTGCTGTAGTCAGCAACGTTTTAGTAGTGGCGTAATTAGTGGTCATGTTTACCATGACAACAGAGGGAAACCAGATGGTCACTGTAATTTTTAAATTGATGTAGATTTTAATTGAAAAGTCATAGTTTGGTCCTAATTTATTCTCAAATTGTAGTCGAGGGGGCCTCAAAAGTTATATGTAGGGAGCACAAATGGCCCCCGAACCTCGCTTTGAACACCCCTGATCTCGCTACAGCATCTCACTCGTAAAAGGAAATTAAACAAACTAAAACACTTTTGGAAAAGCTAAACGTTTATGAGCAGAAATTTAAAAGCAAGTGTTGATTTGCAACTGTAATAACTATAAATAATAATTATAATTGTTATATTTACTACTAATTATTATAATGCTGCTGTCTGACGTCTGTGTTCTTCTTCTGGGGTGGATTTTGGTCCAAACTGGGTCATATCAACAGGACAATGTTTACAAATTCACAACAACAAATCAAGAAGTTTCAACGGCCCAGTCAAAGTCCAGACCTAACCAGGATTAAAAAAGCTCATGGACTTTGAAATCAAAGGATCTGCTAATTTTTAATGTATGAGTGTGAGTTTATTGCAAACTTTCTGCATAAAAGGTAAAAAACATTGAAGTGCTACCTCCCACCTGCAGGTGGCAGTATATGTTAGTACATGTATGTTGGTAAGAAAAACCGAGATATTTATGTTTTTAGAAAAAGCTCCTTCTAGTTCACCTCCAAACGCGGTCTGGGTTCGGTTGAAGTGAACTCTGGTTCAGTTGAATGCATATGTGAACATCAAGTGGACCAGAGATCGCTCCAAAAGCAGGAAGTGGACTACAGCGCAGGGCATTCTGGGTAAATTCAACCAAAACATTCATGCTAGCCTAGCGCGAGCAGGAGAAATGGAGAAATTTAAGCCAAAGATAAAGATAAATCTTCCAACCACCAAAAGCTGACGCCTCCATTTTAGTCTCATTTGGTGAAGAAGGAAGTTGTGCTCAATGTCTTCTTCAGAGGATTCTATTATCTGTGATTCTTGGTGCAGCGCCCCCACAAGTGAGGAGGAAACTGGTTTCTCAAAGGGTTTGGTTGGTTTTTCACAGACAGTTTAACAAATATTGCAGTTCATCTGAAGGCAATGCAATGCTGGGTTCTGTAGATATCTTTCTATTCAGATCATTTTTATCCACAATGATGCCTGGATCTCCTGAATTAAACGTTTCTGCCACTGTTTATTGGTTGAATTGGCAACTTGCAAGGAAATCACAGTATTTCTTTCTCCTCCCGTTTTCTTCCAGCCTCGATTGGTATCTCCCTGGAACATACCGTGATTTAAAAATATATATATATAAAAACGCGTTTTTCTTCATCTCAAACCCAAAACTTGTTTAATAACACCGGTTAATAACAGGAGCAACAGGAGGAAGTTCAGCCAGTAAAAAATCCCCACCGTCTGTACATGTTCAAATACCTGAGCATGTCCAAAACCAGGAAATAAGGAAGCAGAATAAACACTCTTAAAGAAATACAGCAGAAAAATCTGATGTTCTACTAAAAAACTGCCGCTGATGGGTATTAAAACAGATTTCAGGGCACAAAATGAAGAAGGAGTCAAATATCTGCAGCTCAGTCCTGGGTGAGCCGGCCATGCATGATGCGGTTGTACAACAAACACTTTGAACGCAAAACAGCGGAGTTTTCCTGACACTAAACCCGCTAACAGCTGCGAAACACGCGAATAAACGTCTGGGGATAAGAAATGGAAATGCAAAACCTTCCAGAGCTGCTTCAGAGTTTTCCCAGATGATGTTTAAGGTCTTACCTGAGCGGACTCTGCAGCAGTTCTGGGTCTGATCTGCGCACATGGGGCAAAGTCGAGCGACCTGCCAACTTTACACGTGCACAGAGCAGGAATTACAGGGGGAACCAACCTGCGCGCAACACGCAGAAAACTGACGCTGCAGCTCCAGCAGATGAGTTAAAGTGTTACAAACACGACAGACACGGGTTTTACTTACATAACCATCCGCAGTTGTTGCGCGCATCCGCAGCTGAAACGTGTGCAGGAGGAAGATGTTGACCTGGTGAGCCGAACCGAGCCGAGGTGGATCTGGAGTCCCACACGGATGTCTGGCTGCCGCAGGCTTTTAAAGGTGGAAATGTCGCCTCCCACATGTCGCCAGTAGAGAAAAACACAACAACAAAAAACATCATTCACGCAGATCTGCAGCTCTGGAAGCAACAGGTTTCAACCTAAATTTAAAAACACATTCAAACTCTTCAACTTTTTCAGATTTTGTCAGCAAAAACATTTATTTTATTTAAGTAAACAACCCAAAAGTGAAAGAAATCAATCAAACCAGTTTTTTTTTATAGTGCATTTCAGCAGCATGGCAGGTCAGGTGCTTTACATCATAAAAACACAAAAATATAAAGTGATAGTAACACATTCAACAGCTGAAGAAAAATACATCTGTAAACTGCAAAAACACAAAATCTTTCTGAGAATTTTTGCCTAATTTATTACAGAAAAACATTTTATAGGCTAAATAACCTGCCAGGGAACTTTTAAGAATTTAAAATAAACTTTTCTTACTAGAAACTTAATTTAGTTTTGTATTTGGGCCATTGGAGATAAAAAAGAGTTTGGGAGAAGATATTCAGAAATTGTAAGATTAATCTAATAAAATTTATCGAAAAATCTTTTTCTGAATTTAAAAAGTTGCTAAAATGTTTTCGAAAATGCAGCAGAAATTTCCCAGAAAAAACTTTGAAATTTCAGTTTGAAATGTTGAAAATTTGCTAGAAAAATGTCTAAATATTGAGATTAACCTCAGAATTTTTTTTTTTTACATATCTGAATCTCAAGATTTTGGAATATTTTCTTGCAATTTTTGTTTAAACATTTCAAACTAAAAAAATTCTAAGATTTTTCTCCTGAAAGTGGCTAAGATTGATTTCAATGTTTTAGATTTTTTTTTGGAGGAAGTTTCCTCTTCTTTTTGTTTTTTTATTTGTTGTGTTTTTATCCACAATCATAAAATTCTTATAGGAAGATATCTTATAAATGAACATTATAGTATGTCAAATAGTTATGTCCTTAAAATAAGCTTTTATATCTTGGCGGAAAGTTACTTGTAACTTAATGTTGTTACTTTAAGTGTATTTTAATATGTCTTAGTTTCCTTATAATTACAGACTCATTTTTTTCATAAATATATTTACTTTAAAACAAAACATTTAAGTAAAAATCTAATATTTTCAGTATTTTAATCGATTTTCAGTCTGATTTATCCGTGTAAAACGTAGCTTTGCTGATTTTTCAGCTCCTTTTCCTTTCAGATGGTCAAACGCGTTCTGCGCATGCGCGTAACCCCGCGTGAACCCGGAAGTTCTCTCCTGGAATCAGCTGCGCAGCAGCAGCCAAAACAGCGAATCGAGTTTATTCAGGAATAAAGCAAGAAAACATGCAGCTTCACTTCGCTAAGGACGCGTTACCGGACTCTGTCGGTACCGACTTCCAGAACCTGAACAAATTTAACGAGCAGGTAAAAAACAAGCGCTGTTTACCGAGGAATTTTAGCTAGTTTTCCTGTTTTCCGGCGAGATTTATGGGGATCTATAAACATCTTAAATGCTCGTAGGAGTTTCATCAGCGCCTATAATTTTATATGTTTAATATTTGGATAACTAACCTTTAATAAAAGGTTTAAATGCATAAAAGAACAATTTTTCTTCAGCTGTTGAAATTTCTTCAGCTGCTGAATGAAATATTCAGCAGTTGTCATGTTTCTCATGAAATTTAATTCAAATGACCAGATCATATGTGATGATCTGCTGACCTTTGCCCTTTTTACAACTTTCTATCACATTTTTTCCTCATTGAACCATCACAGATGTGCAGTGCTCTTAAAAACTGTTTACTCTCCAACAGATTTGTTATTTTTTTACCTATTAAAGGAAAACTCAATCCAAAGAAACACGACCCTTTGTGAAAATGTGTTGAATTAGCAAAGTTAAACCTACTTTTTGTGTATAATTTCAATCCAAAGATCTCGACAGTCAATATGTAGCTTGAACAGAACCTGTTGGTAATATTTAAAACAGTTAGGGTGCAATTTTTACAGACACAAGGAATTTCAATAAAGATTAAAACAATTGAAGATTAAATTTATTTAGAAAATCAAAATGAAAAAGTGTCAAAAAAATTAGGCAGACGTAAAAGACTTATAACAAATATAATAATAAACATAATTAGACAAGAAATATTTATTTCTATAGCATTTTTTATTATTATTTCAAGTAAAATCAGATTTTATTTGGCTGAGATTTCAGATATATTTTTAAAATAAACTGTACTGTTTGTTTACGTCTGTAAGCTTAGAAACAACAGTTATGGTGTTTTATAACAACAAGCCATTTGAGAGTTTGAATATAGTCTGATCAAAAGTTTTAAAAAGCCATAAAAATAATAGTGTTTATAATTTTTTACAATGCAAAATGATAATAATAATTAACAAAGTAAAAGTAAAAATGGACAAATAAAATTGTTTTTGCAGTCTTAACTATGAAAAACATTTAATATAAATATGATTATGAGACAGATTAGAGCTGTATTTAATACAGATATATATCTTGAACTACTAGTAGAATAAAAGCAGAAACATTAGAGTAATTAAATATAAATAAGAGTGTTTAGGCCTGACGACGACATGCAGTAGCAACAAGAAACACAGACGGCGAGGAACGTTTAAATTACTCAAAGTAATGTGTTTTTTAAATGTATTTTTTAAATATCTGCAGCAGTTTAGTCGACTGATTGAAATTCTGTTCCAGTTCCTCCTGGACCCGAAAGAGGTGAGTGGAAAAGAAATGAGACTCTGAGCTTTGATAAGTCAACTGCCGTAAAATGCTGCTTTTCCCTTTGTGTGTGTGTGTGTGTGTGTGTGTGTGTGTGTGTGTGTGTGTGTGTGTGTGTGTGTGTGTGTTCAGACAGACAGATTCGTGCAGCAGCTGACAGAATTTGCAGGGGAACACGGGATGAGCGCCGGCCCGCTGAGGAACCTGATGAAGAGCATCCTGCTGGTTCCTCAAGGTGGGAAAAACTTAACAGGAAGCTATTTTGATAAATTATTTCCAGAGGGAAGAGATTTTACCCGACAACCCCTCCAAACAAGCTACAATAGCGGTCAACAGTCTACAGAGGCTTTGTTTTTTGGGTTCTTTTCATCCTTTCAGGAGTGGTGTGGACACTTCTACTAAGCCACTAATGTCGGAGCAAATTTTTCATTCGGACTTTTGCTAGTTTGAAAACATTTAGTGCACATAGCTTTCCCTAAATCAATTTTCCCATGTGAATACTAAAGCGCTAATTCACTTGGCTGGTTTGTGAGTAAAGTTGAAGTTTTGGTTATTGAATGTTAAGATTTTTCCAGTTAGTTAGATGTTTCCATTCATGCTTTTATCTTGAAGCTGTTAAAGTGACTCTGCTGTTTTCTCCTCAGGGGCTCTGAAGAAAAACCTGACGACTCTGAGCAAGTCAAGGAGGACCTGCTCACATTAGGTTCTAGTTTCAAACTCCAACTGACTTCATTTTAAATTAAATGTTAAATTATGTTTTCCCTGAACTAAAAAGGGTTTTTCTGTTTGTCCCTCAGGGCTAAATGAGGAGAAAGCTGCTCACTTTTCATCACAGGTAAATACATTAACCCTTGAATTTGATGGATCCTGTAAGATTAGAGGCTCTGATGAAGTTCTGATTAGTTCATAAGATAATTACATTTTGATAACTTTCATTTGGGAGAACTAGCAGGCATTTTAGCATCATTTACTCACCAGATTAATATTTATATCAAATTCATTTAAAGAAAATCTGATGTGATGACTTCACCACAAAGGGTCTGCTGGGTCAAATTCATTCTAGCAGGGAAACTTTCATCAAGTCCGAAACCAACAATTTCTGCACTGACTTTTGTGTTTGCAGTCCAGAACTGTGGTTCTGATGGCAGAGCACCAATGACTAATTCATCTGCAAAATACAACGGAACATCAGGCACATTGTAGATAAAAATATGTATAAAAAACTAGAGTAAACGTCCGCTAGGAAACTCTGAAGTTCTAAGATTAATCTCAGACATTTTCTACCAACAACTTGAAAATTTCTGTTTGAAAATTCAAAGATTTGCTAGAATCAGACATTTTTAGATTCATCTAAAAAATGTTCTAGAAAATCAAGGAAATTTCTGAGTTTGAAAAGTCAAAATTTTGATTGAAAACTTTTTTCTAGCAAATTCTTGACTTCTCAAACTCAAGCTTCCTTGTTACTTCTACAAAATGTATACAATTGTTAGGCAGAAATCTACTATTTTTTATGGTGTTCCAAAGCCCTTCAACAACCTGGAAAGTGAAAATTTATTATGATGTTTTTGAAAGTTTTT